GCAGCATAAGGCTCTATGCACACTAGCATTTTTTTTTCCGTGTGATGACAGGACTCAGTAGAGAAGAATAAGATACAGGTAACCAGAGGTTTCCTCAAAGGGGCTGGCTGGAAGGAACTGCCTTTTTACAGGAAATCTTCCACCTCCTTGGTATGGTGCCTGGATCTGAAAATAAGTACTACTCTCGGGGTTTAGGGAAGGATGCCCATAGTGTATTAGGTTATCAAAAGAACTTTATTGTAATCATTCAAGGTATCCAAATCGCGATAGGTAGTTAAAATAGCATCCAGGTATAGTATGAACTAACCCTGTGCTTATTAAAGGTGGCCGCCGGGCCTCCACATGGCTCTGGCGGCGTAGCGTCACGACGTCCGGGCTCCTCACATGTTACGTGCGCACGCACATCAGAGGAATGGAACCCATGATGCGATAGCGAACTTATGTGCGTGTAATGGCGCATGCGCGTGCGATCACGGGCCATTTCACTGGAGCTCAAAGGTGCCTGGCGGTCAATATATCAGACAGAAAGATCGCACTAGCAGTATTTACACAGCGATACTGCTAATAATCATGCGGCAATGCGCAAATACAACCGTATGAGCATATGCAAATAGTAACATCATAAATAGAAATTAATAAGTTAAAAACGACAAAAAGTTCCTTGGTTAACAAAAAACAAAACCAACATATTAAGATAAAAGGCAACAAATAAGACAATAGAACCTAATAAAAGGTATTAAATGAAATACAGAATAAAATAAAATAAATAAATAAAATATATATATATATATATATATATATATATATAATATATATATAAAAGAGATCAAGAAAATAAATAAATTGGAAATAGTCACTTAAGTGACATAATTGTGGTCAACGCCGAGAGACATAAAAATATAACCAGTAATAATGAACCTCTCGGATAAGAGAGATACGAACATAATAACATACCTGTTAATAGTGCTAAAATTGTATAAAACACTAATGAAAAATTAGCTGTTGGCGATAAAGCAATTTAAGTCCAACTCGACATTAAGACCCGCGGGGTATAGTATGTCAAGCTCAAAAATGTGTTTAGTCTCCAGCTGTGAGACTGCTCTTGTTTTTGTGTGTTCCCCTCCAATGGGGGTTAACCATGTTAATACCAACAAACTTGAGTGTTGAGGGGTCCCTATTATTATGATGTCATCTGTAATGTAATGACAAGGAATGATCCTTGTAGCCCTTCTTGATATTGGCAATATGCTCCCTGAGGCGGTCCCTCAGCCTCCTTGTTGTTCGGCCAACATATTGCCTAGAGCATGGACATTCTAGCAAATATACCACAAATTTGCTGTTACAGCAAATAAATTGATCTATCTCATATGTCTTGTTGGTCTGTTTGGAACAATATGTGTCAATCTTTCTCTTTCTCTACCCATTAGCTTTACATGCAATGCACTTATCGCAAGGGTAAAAACCCTTCATATTGAATAAAGGCAAGGGTCTATCAGGGGAATCGATAATATTAGGAGATATTTTATCCCTTAAAGTAGATGGTCTACGGAAAATAATTTCAGGTCTTTCTGGAAGAATTCTCATAAGGACTGGGTCCGCTCTAAGTATGCCCCAATTTTTCTTTATATGTTGTACCGATCTAAATTGTGCAACTTTATGGTTGGTATCAAGGAGATCTTCACGTTTCAAATTAGCAATAGAAGATATTGTATTTTCAAGAATTTCAGTTCTGTAACCTTTTTCAAGGAATCTTTCTCTTAAAACATTGGCCTGTGTTAGAAAATCATCCCTATTGGTGCAATTCCTCCTGAGTCTGAGAAACTGCCCCTTAGGGATGTTAGCGAGCCAATTGGGATGGTGGCAGCTATCAAGGGGAATATAGCTGTTACGGTCAGAGGACTTGAAATAAGATTTGGTAGTGATTCTTCCATTTGACATTTATTAGAGTTAGATCCAAAAAATTTACTTCTGAACCGCTTTAGCTATATGTAAAATAAATATTGTTGCTATTAAAATTCAATGTAATAAAAAAATTCGTAAGAGACTGTTCGGTACCCTCCCACAGTAGGAAAACATCATCGATGTATCTCTTGTAGAATAACAGTTACGGCCAGTCACTAGAGTAAATAATCTCTTCCTCCCAATATGCCATAAACAGATTGGCGAGGCTGGGGGCAAATTTTGCCCCAACGCCACGCCATTGATTTGCAAATAGTACTTGCTATTAAACCACATATAAATCCTATTCATAGCAAATTCCAACAGTTTCATAATAAAATCAATATGTGTGGTGGTTAAAGGACTCTGTTGTCTAAGGTAGAAGTCCGCAGCTCTCATACCTTCTTTGTGATCGATATTGCTATATAAAGCTTCTACGTCTGCTGTTACTAGTATAGTAGGAGTGGTGACAACCCCTTTGATGGCATTAAGGACCTGTTTTGTGTCTTTTAAGTACGAAGGAGTTAGGCTTACCAGTGGTTGAAGATAGTGATCAATGTATGCTCCAATTTTAGATTAAAGGGAGTTAATCCCGTTCACTATGGGTAGGTCCTTATTGCCATCAAAGGGGTTGTCACCACTCCTTCTACTATACTAGTAACAGCAGACGTAGAAGCTTTATATAGCACTATCGATCACAAAGAAGGTATGAGAGCTGCGGACTTTTACCTTAGGCAACAGAGTCCTTTAACCACCACACATATTGATTTTATTATGAAACTGTTGGAATTTGCTATGAATAGGATTTATATGTGGTTTAATAGCAAGTACTATTTGTGGCCACCATTAATATCCACAGGGTTAGTTCATACTATACCTGGATGCTATTTTAACTACCTATCACGATTTGGATACTTTGAATGTTTACAATAAAGTTCTTTTGAGACCTACTACACTATGGGCATCCTTCCCTAAACTCCCTGAGAGGAGTACTTATTTTCAGATCCAGGCACCATACCAAGGGGTGGAAGATTTCCTGTAAAACAGGCAGTTCCTTCCAGCCAGCCCCTTTGAGGAAACCTCTGGTTACCTGTATCTTATTCTTCTCTACTGAGTCCTGCCATCACACGGAAGGGAGGATTACCTAAGCTGTCCAGACCTCTAACCAGACCCCAGATGAGGGATTTTATACAACGCTCTTACCCTATTTATTTCTGGTGAGTGCGCATTTCTGTCAATTGCTAAGGAGCTCCACCAGTACCTAGTAGTTTCACTTTTTCACAAGTCATAGACTTTATGGACGTTGTCTTGAATTTTATATGATTTTAGCGCTGCACTAATCTATATTATTTGTTCTACCATATAATCAAAGGTCATAAAGCGCATGTGTCCCCTTGATTGCTCACGTAGACGTTACCTGTTCTAGCAATTCGCTTCCCTACACAGGTGCACACAGGAAAGCTAAATTCTGAGCTCATTCAAGGTTACTTATTTTAACCAAAGGAATGTGATAAAGGACAAGGAACAGAGAAAGATAAACAAAGCAACAATTTGAGTATAAACAAACAAGGTATAGTGAACCCTTGAGATGAAAAAAAGCTGCTAGCAGTAAAGGTGACCAACCCAACATAGAAAATAAAAAAACAGAATGTGCAGTGCTAAAAATGCTACATGTAAATTGTATGTAGCAATTCACAATCACAAGATACAAGTGAATCATATGATACCATTAAGAACCGTAAGGTATACAATGTTAGTAGTAATAACATACATCAAAAAGCACCAAAAGTGAAGAAGTGCAAAGTGACTAATATATAATAAAGTCCATTGACTGCTGAACAAAGATCAGTGACAACAATCCAGTGGTGACACCTCTTCTGTGGTACCTTCACCCTTATGCACTCACCAGAAATCTGGCAAACATATGCCCAAAATGATATGATCTGTGATGGCCTCCTTTACTCCTTCCTCACAATGGACTCCAACCCAAGTGACCAAGATGCACCTTAATAAAAAAAGCTCTCACACGGAGCTTTCAATTTGGAGCTTTCCCACACAGTTTTGTCTTTGCACTACAATATGCCCTCATTCTTCTGGGTTTATTACAATTCAAAAGAAAGCAGAAAGCAGTTGCTGACATTTTCACATCAAAGTAACACGCTTCATGGAGGAGTGCCCAGACTGGAAAGAGGACTCTTTCAAGTTGTTTCTCTGGAGCAGAGTTATACATGGGACTCCATTGTCAGCCTGTATTGTTCAGAAAAAATGTGTACACATCACCTTGCATTGTACTTGGCTATGTAAATGAGGTCTGCAGAGGACACCAGTTAAAGGGACCATACCCTTGGATCTGACCAGTAAAGGAAAATGATGCTCGAGGAGAAAGGATCCCATTTAAAGGGGGCACATGCTCTTTATGACTATTCATTGTATGGGGGTCATGTACTTAAAGTGTTTCTAAAGATTTAAGTTTTTTTTTACTTTCATGCAAAAAAGGTAATAAACCTTCAGTGTGCAGCTCCCCCTTATTCTCACCTGAGCCTGATCCAGCATGTATGAGAGCAGAGGCTCTCCCACGGGTCTCGCTCTCCTCTTTCGTTGAGGCACAGCAGTGGAGGCTGAGGTAAGGCCTGTCCTAGGACATTGAGAAAGCTTTTTCTTTTCTGCAACAGAGGTACAATAATTAAATATTGGTACATATGGAAACTCTGTATAAAGACGGTAATGTACAATAAAGGAAAATCACATGGTTCTAAACAAAAGAGCAAAACTCTGATTAGTAAATTTTCTGATGCATATTATCTAATCTAGCTATTAAACATATTCTTCAAACATGGTCACTGAGCCCCTCAATGGATCAAATAGGACAGCATATTTGTCCATGTGCTTGAGTCAATGCAGGCTAATTTGTTTGCTTTCAATATGCGCCACCATGAGACTATGTATTTAAGTGTTTTTTTTTTTTAATATTTAAATTATGCTCCTTACATGCCTGTCACTTTCTGAATTTTCATTTACATTGGTGTTCTCTGATTATGTGTCCATCTGCTGTTGGATTTCAGAGACTTGCAATAGAACTTTCAAGAAACCAGAAATCCAGAGGTATATCCCCTCCAGACACTCATCTCAGCCCCCAAAATGATGAAAGCCCAGAATCCAGGATTACAAAGACAGATGTGAACATTGAGAACATTCCTTCTTTACCTACTCCTAGAGAAGCCGAAGAGGATGAGGACAAAATTCTTCATGACGTGTTTAATGTGAGCTTCCTCCTATTCAGTTTTACTTGCGGTCTCTTCTGTTTCGAATGTAGTCCCTTTTTGTATTAAATCTGAAATATATTTCCTTTAAATGGTTAAAGGATATATGGAGGGTTATTTAATAGAACTGGATAGTGCAAAATCTGGTGCAAGTCTGCATAGTGACCAATCAGCTTCCAGGTTTTATTGCCAAAACTTAATTGAACAAGCTGAAGTTAGAAGTTGATTGGCTACCATGCAAATGTGTACCAGATTCTGAGTGCACCAGTTTTTTTTAAATCTTCTGTATGTGTCCAAAATGTGACCCTTTTCCTTTTTACAACCATTCAGGGTTTCATGGAGTCGTACAATACTATAGCACATCTCTGACATTAATTTTTTTTTTTTCATGACCACTATAGACCAGTTTTTCCATTACTGCAGGGCCAGGGCTGTGGGTGGAGGGAAATGTTTGCATACTGAAAGACTTCATTATTCTACTTTTTGCCCCATTTCGAACAGCTGTGGGCAGAAGGGGAGGCTAATTGATACCCCTTTAGGTGGGTATGGAAAGACTAAAGGCAGCAGGTGTCCACAAGTACTAAGTGTAGACTGTATGACCTTTTAGTCCAACTGAGGAAGTGTATAAGGTAGGGTAAATAACTTTGCATAATGCTGCTACATTGAAATTTACTGTATATGTAAAAATGCAGGCTGTAACATGCTGTATCTTTTTGATTTTGCATTTACATACGCTTAAGATATCCTGGCCTTGCCATATATATCAGATGCCATTTAGCATTTTGATTTTATTTTTTCTCAATCCTTTGACATTTTCTAGGATATTTGCAAACTAGGTGTAATTTGACCAAATCTTTATCATTAATATGTTTGCATGCCTGTAAAGTGGCACAAATATTGCCTTGGTGGAACACCAAAGAGAAGTCCAGAAACAAGTGAGGACTATGCATCAAAAAGGCCTGTTCAGATTCCCAAAGGAGGTGAGAGCTCTGTGCACAAGCTTTGAGTGTCTTCCTCACACGCAGGCAAAAGCTTTAGCAGAAACGCGCAAGCCTTTTTACTTTGTGTTCACCCTAGAGCTAACAAAAACTTTTGCCTGTTTCGAGTTGCTGGTTATTCGTTTCAACTAAAACAAGTGAGGACTGGCTTCCCCATGACCCACTGTTTAGGTAGGACACTCTTGCATACTGGATTTTGCTGTATGTAGTGCAATGCACCTGCACAGAGCAGGGTTTTATAAAGTCTCTTTTTTGGCCTTTTTGATTCTAGTTACACCCCCTTCTTAATGGTACAGCTATTGATAATGCAACATTCAGTTTGATATATGTATTGAATATATGATTCTGCACAGGCATTAAAGTGGTTCTAAAGGCTTTTTACCTTCATGCATTGTATGCATGAAGGTAAAAAACATTCAGTGTGCAACAGTTTTCCTTAAACCAGAATATGTTTGCCATTTTGAAGAGATCTGCATTCAAGCTTGCTCCAGGCTGAAATTCCTATTTCAAATAAAACCTTAAAGGAATTTTTCTAGCTAATCTACTGGTTCTTGTGGTTTTTTTCTCTTGAAATAGGATTTTTTAAGAACAATTCCAGGCATGACCTTGTTATACATAGTTTCATTGATCCAGCTTGGACCATAACATAACATACTTGCCCAATTCTACTGGAAGCTGAAAATCACTGAAGCAGGCACTGCAACCTCAGTGATCTCCATTTGCTTCCTGGTCCCATGCCAAGCAGCTGCTCTACTGCTTTGTGAACACAGGAGGTCGGCCACTCTGCACTGGAACCATTCAGAAAAAATTTGCATTTTCTGAAAGAATGGAAAGCATTCTCTGGATGTAGTGAAGAGGCGGGGCAGTGATTTCACTCCACCTTGTCCAATCAGAGAACACTGACTTCCTGTATTCACAATGCAAGAGAGCAGCTTTGAACGGGACTTGGAAGCAAGTGGAGATCGGTGTCTACTTCAGCGATTTCCAGTGGCATCGGCCAGGTCTGTCATTATTCCTGGAATTATGATTTATTACAGGTACTTATATAGTGCCATCAATTTACACAGTGCTTTTACATATATATTGTACATTCACATCAGTCCCTAGCTCTCAAGGGGCATACAATCTAAAGTCCCTAACCTAAATTCATACATACACATACTTGGGGCAGTTTAGACAGGATCCAATTAACCTACCAGCATGTCTTTGGAGAGTGGGAGGAAACCGGAGTACCCAGAGGAAATCCACGCAGGCACAGGGAGAACATGCAAACTCCAGGCAGGAGGTGCCCTGGTTGAGGTTCGAACCAACAACCCTAGTACTGCCAGGCGGAAGTGCTAACCATTTAGCCACTGTGCTGGAATGTATTCTTTAAAGTGGTTGAACAAGGTTTTTTACCTTAGTCCATTTTCTCCATTAAGGTAAAAAAAACCTTTTGTTTTCAGCTACCCCCAGCCCCTCCCCAAATACTAAACTCGATCTTGATCCAGTGCTTTGCCCAAGAGCAGTCTCTCTCTTTCTCAACATGGAAACAACAATGGGAGCCATTGCTGTCAATCGCAGACTGAGGAGGGAGCAGGGGGCAGAGCCAAGCTGCGCTGTGTGCTTCAATGGGCACACAGAGCCTGGTTTGAGATCAAGCCCACACGAGTGCCCCCCATAGCAAGTGGCTTGCTATGAGGGCATTCAGAAGGGGGGAGGAGCCAGGAGCATCCATGGGAGACCCCGGAACAGGACGGTGAGGGCTGTTATGTGCAAAACCATTGCACAGAGCAGGTAGGTATGACACGTTTATTATTTTAAAAGCATTCCTTTACAGTCACCAAGTGTGTTATGTTTGTGTGACTTTGCTGGTGTCATGATATATAGAGCAGCATATATAGAGCAACCCAATGCATTCACTGCATGTCTTGTGTCAGCAGCAGGATCTCTCCGATGGAGACTTGGATGCTGACTTGGCTGGGGATGATGAAGTGAACCATTTGGAGGGCAGCTGTTCCTCTGCCAGCTCCACAGCCACCAGCAATACCGAAGAAAATGACATTGACGAAGAGACTATGTAAGTAGAGAGCCTAGATTTTAAAGAGCTGTGTTTATACATCTGTGATAGACAAAGTCATGAATCCGGATAGGCCGTTTTAGGAGCCAGCAGTGAGATTTTGGAGGAGAGAATTACTGGGATTTATTTACTTAAAGTGCACCTGTGCCCATACTATGGAGATTGAATGTAAACTGAGCTGCACTTTTTCAGCTTAGTGAATATTCCAAAGAAGACTGCGAGCAGACAGGTTTATTTTATTGTACAAGAGCATGCCTGCTCACAGTCAATAAATCTAGGACTTTATTTCTATTTTAACTTGAGAAACTGGCACCTCCTGGCCTCCATACAGACATAAGATGCTCCCAAACCCTCGCCCTGCTGAGAGCCTGATGGCGGTGTGGCGAGAGAGAGGTCACCCAGACTGCTAAGTGGCATGGCCATGGCCTGGATAGGAGTGTCACTCAATCCAGACAGTGGTCCACTATTTAGTGATGCCTGTTTTGGAGTGTCCAGTGATCCTGATTGTCTGACTTACCACCTGTAAGCAGTGAAGTCATACAAGTTTTTCTTTCTGCTCCCTGCTCTCCCTCCTATATTTTCTTATTTATATTTTACATTAAAAATTAGAAGGCTGAAAGACTGCTGAGCCACTGCCAGAAGTGGGTAGCATTGCGGCTGACCTGATGAGAGAAGAACTTGAACTAGAGAAGCTACAATTTCTGGGGAATTGTGTGAAGTGTTCTTGCCTGCACCAGTAGTCTACAACTGGAGTGGGCGGAGTAACTGGGTGGAGTGGCTTGAGTAACTGTTGTGTGGCTGGAGTAACTGTGAAAAGGTTGGACTGGGCAGAGTAACTTTATGGAGTGGGTTAAAAACTCATGCAACTCACTCTACAGCAAGGGTAGAGAAGAGCAGCTAAAAACAAACTGCTCCAACTTGTTCACTTCACTGGCGGTTGCCATTTTCAAACGGTTGTAGTTTAATAATTATAAATCCTACACCGAAGAGCTTTTATATTGTGAGAATCACAAGACCCAAACCTACATTTTGATGCATAGTATGTCTCTGAAATATTAAAAATGAAGCACAGTCGCAGTTTAGAAATTGGCCTTCAAATTTCAGTTGTCTAGAGTGGAGTTTCAATGAATGTCAATGGGCGGCGTGTGTTGCAAACAAATGGTCATATTGTGAAAACTATCAGGACTATGGCTTAGCCGTGGACATTTTTAGTGGCAGCAGGGATAGCTGAACGGTTTGATATAAGATTTTTGTAGGTGGGCTTGAAAATGAGGGAGTGGTGGCAGTTTAGAAATCATGTCCTGATTTTTCAGCTCCCACTCTAGCTTTTGTCAGCTCACACTCTAGTTTTGAACATTCCCCCATTCATTCCTATGGGACCAATTTCACCACAAAAACGCCGATATTTTGTAAACCATTTGGCAAAACGTTCCACAAAGTAATAGCACACCAATCGGGAACAATCTGCACGTTTCGGTATATTACGGTCTATGTAGTGTAAAAACTGTGGGAGGAGTTAGGGTGGTAAATATGGCTATAATAATAAGAATATATATGTGAGATAACAGTAAGTGGTCTTGCCATGCAAGAACACTTAATGAATTCAGTGTTTCTGCTGATACATTGCTTCACAGTTCCCACAGATAAAAAAATGTCAGTGAGCTTGCTTTAAAGTTCTTTTATGGCTTGTTAGAATATGTAGTTACTAAACCCATCAATTTCACTGATTCGTTATCGGTTACATTCAAGGCATGCCATGATTGGTATCTGTCATGGCTGCTTGTGCTTCCAAACAAACTGTCAAGCCATCAAATGGCTGGTGTCATAACTGATCACGGGTGTAGCACCATGGGAACTGCAGATGAAACAGACTAAGATGGCTACCTCCTTAGCTGTGAAGGATAGGAGGGTTTAGTTCCACTTTAAATGTCCATGGCCTATGCAGAGGCTCACTACTAGAGAAACCATTTCACATTAGACATTTGCATTTTATCTGATTGCTGTTACTGTGTCTGTTCACAATTAGGTCTGGGGAAAACGACGTGGAGTATGGCAGTAACATGGATTTAGAAGAAGGAGAATTGATGGAAGATGTAGCTGGCGCAGCTGGAGCCTCAGGTACGAATTGAAACAAACAGGCAATGTTATAAAAAAATTCTTAGCAAGAGGAGTCCCTTTTGCCAACGCACACTACAGACTGTTCCAATTTCAGCTTTGTAAACGCACCAGCATGTGCCTTTTCATCACCTGAGAGTACTGTACTGATCAATTGGATCCACACAGAGTTCCCACTTCTGCACAACAGCTCCTACGGGGCTTTGTGTTTTTCCTCATTGTATAGTTAGCTGACTATAAATAGGTTTTCAGGACATGTCTGCCCCTTTTCTGAGTATTGTTTGCTGTACAAAGCATTAATCAGTAGGCAGCCAATTCCCAGCTTCCTCTTTACTTGTAAACTCTAAAATATGTAATGTGTTTCTTTTTTGTTTGCTTGTGTGTGTGTAAAAGCTATTTATTGTTCATACACATATTCTTAAATCTTAACAGGCAAGTATTTTACAGATGACAACCTTGATATTCTAAAATACTTTATCTAGGGATCAGAGATAATTTTTTTTTGTATTCCCCATCACCTTGATGCTATGAGTGTGCTGTATATGAGCCACTTGCCTACTGGGCACTTATACAGTGAGGAACATAAGTATTTGAACACCCTGCGATTTTGCAAGTTCTCCCACTTAGAAATCATGGAGGGGTCTGAAATTCACATTGTAGGTGCATTCCCACTCAGACAGAATTAAAAAAAAAAATTCAGGAAATCACATTGTATGATTTGTAAAGAATTTATTTGTCTTGCACTGCTGAACATAAGTATTTGAACACCTAAGAAACAGCAATAATTCTGGCTCTCAAAGACCTGTTACTGTGCCTTTAAAAAGTCCACCTCTACTCCACTCAATCTAACTTAATAGCACCTGTCTGAGCTCTTTAAAGACACCTGTCCACCCCACAGTTAGTCAGACACCAACTACTACCATGGACAAGACCAAAGAGCTGTCAAAAGACATCAGAGACAAAATTGTGGACCTCCACAAGGCTGGAAAGGGCTACGGGGGAATTGCCAAGCAGCTTGGTGAAAATAGATCAACTGTTGGAGCAATTGTTAGAAAATGGAAGAGGCTAAAGACGACTGTCAGTCTCCCTCGGACTGGGGCTCCATGCAAGATCTCACCTCGTGGGGTATCACTGATGATAAGAAAGGAGAGGAATCAGCCCAGAACAACAAGGGAGGAGCTGGTCAATGACATGAAGAGAGCTGGGACCACAGTTTCAAAGGTCACTGTCGGTAGAACACTACGCCGTCATGGTTTCAAATCATGCATTGCACTGAAGGCTCCCCTGCTCAAGTCATCACATGTCTAGGCCCGTCTGAAGTTTGCCAATGACCATCTGGATGATCCAGAGGAGGCATGGGAGAAAGTCATGTGGTCAGATGAGACCAAAGTAGAACTTTTTGGTCTAAACTTCACTCGTCATGTTTGGAGGAAAAAGACGGATGAGTTGCATCCCAAGAACACCATCCCTTCTGTGAAGCATGGGGGTGGTAACATCAAGCTTTGGGGGTGCTTTTCTGCGAAGGGGACAGGACGACTGCACTGTATTAAGGAGAGGATGAATGGGGCCATTTATTGAGATTTTGAGCAACAACCTCCTTCCCTCAGTCAGAGCATTGAAGATGGGTCGTGGCTGGGTCTTCCAACATGACAACGGCCCAAAGCACACAACCAGGATAACCAAGGAGTGGCTCTGTAAGAAGCATATCAAGGTTCTGGAGTGGCCTAGCCAGTCTCCAGACCTAAATCCAATAGAACATCTTTGGAGGGAGCTGAAACTCTGTGTTGATGAGCGACAGCCCTGAAACCTGACAGATCTAGAGGAGATCTGTGTGGAGGAGTGGGCCAAAATCCCTGTTGCAGAGTGTGCAAACCTGGTCAAGAACTACAGGAAACATTTGACCTCTGTAATTGCAAACAAAGGCTTCTGTACCAAATATTAACACTGATTTTCTCAGGTGTTCAAATACTTGTGTTCAGCAGTGCAAGACAAATAAATTCTTTAAAAATCATAGAATGTGATTTCCTGAAATTTTTTTTTTTTTTTTTTAATTCTGTCTCTCAGAGTGGGAATGCACCTACAATGTGAATTTCAGACCCCTCCATGATTTCTAAGTGAGAGAACTTGCAAAATCACAGGGTGTTCAAATACTTCTGTTCCTCACTGTACACCCTTCCTGCCCAGACCAGTTTTCAGCTTTCAGTGCTCTCATACTTTGACAATTACTCAGTCATGCAAAACTGCACCCACATTAAATTTTTGGTCTTTTTTTTTTTCACAGAAATTGAGCTTTCTTTTGGTGGTATTTAGTGGGTTTTTTATTTTTTTGCGCTATAAATGGAAAAAGACCAAAAATTTAAAAAAAAAACCCCGCATTTTTTCTTTGTTTCTGTTGTCTAATTTTGCAAATAAGTAAATTTTCTTCATAAATTTTGGCCCAAATTTGTACTACATTTCTTCGGTGAAAATAGCCTAAATCAGTGTATATTACTTGGCCTGTGTGAAAGTTATGCAGGCCATAGATGGGTCGAAAATCGGCCGATTTTTCGGCTGAAAATAAAATCGGCCGATTTTCGAATCGTTAGTGGGCGATTTGGTCGGCCGTTTTTCGGTGTTTTGGCCGTTTTTTTTTTTTTTCGGTAAAGTTGGAAAAAAATCAGCTGATTTTGCCGATCGGCCAATTTTCACGGCAATAATGGGCAAATCGGCCGATTTTTTTTACCGATAAAAAATCTGCGCATGAGCAGTGACCTGCAAGAGGAAGACAAAAAGAAAAAAAGAGGAGAAGAGGAAAAAGTAGAAGAAGAGGATGAAGATGATGAAGAGGAAGAAGAAGAAGAGGATGAAGATGATGAAGAGGAAGAAGAAGAGGATGATGATGAAGAGGAAGAAGAAGAAGAGGATGATGATGAAGAGGAAAGAAGAGGAAGAGGATGATGATGAAGAGGAAGAAGAAGAGGATGATGATGAAGAGGAAGAAGAAGAAGATGATGATGATGAAGAGAGGAAGTAGAAGAAGATGATGATGATGATGATGATGAAGAGGAAGTAGAAGAAGAAGATGATGATGATGATGAAGAGGAAGTAGAAGAGGATGAAGATGATGAAGAGGAAGAAAGAAGAGGATGAAGATGATGAAGAGGAAGAAGAAGAAGAGATGATGATGAAGATGAAGAAGAAGATGATGATGATGAAGAGGATGAAGAAGATGAAGAGGATGAAGAGGAGAAGAGGATGAAGAGGATGAAGAGGATGAAGAGGAAGAGGAAGAAGTAGAAGAGGATGATGAGGATGAGGAAGAAGTAGAAGAGGATGATGAGGAAGAGGAAGAAGATGATGAAGAGGATGATGAGGAAGAGGAAGAAGTAGATGAGGAATGATGAGGAAGGAAGAAGTAGAAGAAGAAGATGGATGATGATGAAGAGGATGAAGAAGAAGAAGTAGAAGAAGAAGAGGATGAAGATGATGAAGAGGAAGAAGAGAAGTAGAAGAAGAGAAGAGGATGATGATGAAGAGGATGAAGAAGAAAGAAGAAGAGAGAGGATGATGATGAAGAGAGGAAGAAGAAGAAGTAGAAGAAGAAGAGGATGATGATGAAGAGGAAGAAGAAGTAGAAGAAGAAGAGGATGATGATGAAGAGGAAGAAGTAGAAGAAGAAGAAGAATGAAAAATTAGAGGAATTCCAGTACCGCCAAAAGTGTCCCTGCAGAGAGCTCTGCTATTTCTCTGACAGTTCCTTGACATTTACAGAGGTTGCAACATTGTATCTATTTGTTTCTGAATAAAAACATCTGTATCCTAAATGGAAACAAATAGATACAATGTTGCAACCTCTGTAAATGTCAAGGAACTGTCAGAGAAATAGCAGAGCTCTCTGCAGGGACACTTTTTGCCGGCTCTAGACGGGATGAAAATCGGCCGATATTGTTTTTTACCATTGATGGTAACATCGACCACTTGAACGATCGATTTTTCGTTTTTTTTTTAAAAGAAAAATCTGCCGTTTTTCTCCCCATCTATGGCCTGCATTAGTCTGCCAGCTATGGTATGAATCATTGAAAATTGATCACACCTGATATACTGATGGCCTGTCTTATTTCTTGAAAAATGCAGGCCATAGATGGGGAGAAAAACGGCAGATTTTTCTTTTAAAAAACGAAAAATCGGTCGTTCAGGCGGCCGACGTTACCATCAATGGTAAAAAAAAAATCGGCCGATTTTCATCCCGTCTAGAGCCGGCAAAAAGTGTCCCTGCAGAGAGCTCTGCTATTTCTTTGACAGTTCTCTGACAGTTCCTTGACATTCACAGAGGTTTGCAACATTGTATCTATTTGTTTCCATTTAGGATACAGATGTTTTTATTCGGAAACAAATAGATACATTGTTGCAACCTTGTGAATGTCAAGGAACTGTCAGAGAACTGTCAAAGAAATAGCGGAGCTCTCTGCAGGACACTTTTTGCCGTACCTGGAATTCTCTCTAATTTTTCATTCTTCTTCTTAGCATCCTCCTCTCTCCTCTTCTTCATCATCATTCTTCTTCTTTTTTTCATCATCATCATCCTCCTCTTTTTCATCATCCTCTTCTTCTTTTTCATCATCTCATCCTCTTCATCTTCATCATCATCATCTCTTCTTCTACTTCTTCCTCTTTCATCATCATCATCCTCTTCTCTTCCTTTCATCATCATCATCCTCTTCTTCTACTTCTTCCTCTTCATCATCATCCATCCTCTTCTTCTACTTCCTCTTCCCTCTTTCATCATCATCATCTTCTTCTACTTCTTCTTCCTCTTCATCATCATCCTCTTCTTCTTCTTCTTTCTCTTCATCATCATCTTCTTCTTCTACTTCTTCTTCCTCTCATCATCATCATCATCCTCTCTTCTTCTACTTCTTCCTCTTCATCATCATCATCTTCTTCTTCTACTTCTTCTTCTTCCTCTTTATCCTCTTCTTCTTCTTCTTCTTCTTCTTCTTCTTCTTCATCCTCACCTCTTCTTCTTCATCATCATCATCATCTTCCTCATCATCTTCACTTTCTTCTTCTTCTCTTCATCATCATCATCCTCTTCCTCTTCTTCTTCTTCTACCCTCTTCCTCTTCATCTTCTTCCCTTCTTCTTCTTCATCTTCTTCTTCATCATCATCCTCTTCTACTTCTCTTCTTCTTCTTCATCATCATCATCCATCCTTCTTCTCTCTTCTTCTTCTCTCTTCATCATCTCTTCTTCTTCCTCTTCTTCATCATATCTTCTTCTTCTTCTTCTTCCTCTTCATCATCATCCTCTTCTTCTACTTCTTCTTCCTCTTCATCATCATCATCCTCTTCTACTTCTTCTTCTTCCTCTTCATCATCATCATCCTCTTCTACTTCTTCTTCTTCCTCTTCATCATCATCATCTCTCTTCTCTTCTTCTTCCTCTTCATCATCATCATCCTCTTCTACTTCTTCTTCCTCTTCATCATCATCCATCCTCTTCTACTTCTTCTTCCTCTTCATCCTCATCATCCTCTTCTACTTCTTCATCTCTCTTCTACTTCTTCCTTCTCTCATCATCCTCTTCTACTTCTTCTTCCTCTTCTTCTACTTCTTCTTCCTCTTCATCCTCATCATCCTCTTCTTCTACTTCTTCTTCCTCTTCATCTCCTCTCCTCTTCTTCTACTTCTTCTTCCTCTTCATCATCATCCTCTTCTTCTACTTCTTCTTCCTCTTCATCATCATCCTCTTCTTCTACTTCTTCTTCCTCTTCATCCTCATCATCCTCTTCTCTTCTTCTACTCTTCTTCCTCTTCATCATCATCATCCTCCTCTCTCTTCTTCTTCCTCTTCATCATCATCATCCTCTTCTTCTACTTCTTCTTCCTCTTCATCATCATCATCCTCTTCTTCTTCTTCTTCTTCATCATTCATCTTCTTCTACTTCTTCTTCCTCTTCATCCTCATCATCCTCTTCTTCTACTTCTTCTTCCTCTTCATCATCATCATCCTCCTCTTCTTCTACTTCTTCTTCCTCTTCATCATCATCATCCTCTTCTTCTACTTCTTCTTCCTCTTCTTCACTCCACTTCATCTTCATCATCATCCTCTTCTTTCTTCTTCCTCTTCATCATCATCATCCTCTTCTTCTACTTCTTCTTCCTCTTCATCATCATCATCCCCCTTCTACTTCTTCTACTTCTTCTTCCTCTTCATCATCATCATCCCCTTCTTCTACTTCTTCTACTTCCTCTTCCTCATCATCATCCGTCTTCTTACTTCTTCTACTTCTTCTTCCTCTTCATCATCGTCTTCTTCTTCTTCTACTTCTTCTTCCTCTTCATCATCGTCTTCTTCTACTTCTTCTTCTTCCTCTTCATCATCCTCTTCTTCTTCCTCTTCATCATCATCCTCTTCTTCTACTTCTTCTTTCTCTTCATCATCATCATCATCGTCTTCTTCTACTTCTTCTTCCTCTTCATCATCATCATCATCATCCTCTTCTTCTTTTTCTTCTTTTTGTCTTCCTCTTGCAGGTCACTGCTCATGCGCAGATTTTTTGTCAGTAAAAAATCGGCCAATTTGCCCATTATTGCCGCGAAAATCGGCCGATCGGCAAAATCGGCCGATTTTTTTCCAACTTTACCGAAAAAAAAAAACGGCCAAAATACCGAAAAAAACGGCCGACCAAATCGCCCACTAACGATCCGAAAATCGGCCGAAAAATCGGCCGATTTTCGACCCATCTATGGCCTGCAAAACTGACAAGCCAGGACAGTACAAATACTCCCCAAATGACTGAAAATGAGTATGTGGATACCACATTTTTGAGACCTTTTCACAGCCTAGCCACATAGAGAGGCCCAACATTCAAGGAGCACTGTCAGGGGTTCTAGGGGCATAAATTACACATTTGATTTCCTGACTACCTAATGCAGGCCATAGATGGGTCGAAAATCGGCCGATTTTTCGGCCGAAAATAAAATCGGCTGATTTTTCGGCCGAAAATAAAATCGGCCGATTTTCGGATCGTTAGTGGGCTATTTGGTCGGCCGTTTTTCGGTATTTTGGCCGTTTTTTTTTTTTTTCTGTAAAGTTGGAAAAAAATCGGCCAATTTTGCCGATCGGCCGATTTTCGCCGCAATTAGTGGGCAAATCGGCCGATTTTTTTGCCGATAAAAAATCTGCGCATGAGCAGTGACCTGCAAGAGGAAGACAAAAAGAAGAAGAAGAGGATGAAGAAGAAGAGGATGAAGAAGAAGAGGATGAAGAAGAAGAGGATGAAGAAGAAGAGGATGAAGAAGAAGAGATGAAGAGGAGGAAGAGAAGAAGATGAGGAAGAAGAGGATGAGGAAGAAGAGGATGAGGAGGAAGAGGATGAGAGGAAGAGGATGAGGAAGAGGAAGAGGATGAGGAAGAGGAAGAGGATGAAGAAGAGGAAGAGGATGAAGAAGAGGAAGAGGATGAAGAAGAGGAAGAGGAGAAGAAGAAGAGGATGAGGATGAAGAAGAAGAAGTAGGATGAAAATAAGAAGAATTCCAGTCCAGCAAAAACTGCAGAGAGCTCCGCTATTTCTGACAGTTCTTTGACATTTACAGCGGTTGCAACAATGTATCTATTTGTTTCCGAATAAAAACATCTGTATCCTAAATGGAAACAAATAGATACAATGTTTCAACCGCTGTAAATGTCAAAGAACTGTCAGAAATAGCGGAGCTCTCTGCAGGGACACTTTTTTCCGGCTGTAGAAGGGATGAAAATCGGCCGATTTTTTTTTTTTTTTTTACCATTGATGGTAACGTCGGCCGCTTGAACGACCGAATTTTCGTTTTTTAAAAGAAAAATCTGCCGTTTTTCTCCCCATCTATGGCCTGCATAATAGGACTCTTTCAAGCGGTCATTCTGTTTATTTTCATCAGTTCAGTCATGTTTTTTTCCAGGAAAAAACTGATCAGTTTTTCCATCAGTTTTTCCATCAGTTTTTTCCATCAGTTTTTCCTCAGGTTTGACAATGTCCGTTTGCCCCTTTTTACATCCGTTTTTCCATCCGTTCTGTTTCTTTTTACGGAAGAAAAATAGGGTTTTCTTCCATTCAAAAAACTGATGTTAGTGGATGCGGGCATTAACAGATGTAAACAGATCATGCGTTTACATCTGCTAGTCCATAGAAATACATGGGTGTCTGTTTTTCATCCATAAACGGACAGCTGAAAAACAGACATACGGAACGTGTAAATGGACTTTTGTAGGCCCTGGAGCACCAGGACGATGGAATTACCCACAAAATGAACACAGTTTTAGAAGCAAACACCCCAACGTATATTCTATGATGCATAATGAGTGTTTTGAACATGCCATTTTTTTCCACAAGTTTTCAGAAAACACGGAAAGAAAATGAAAATGTATTTTTTTTTTTACACAAAATTGTCCATTTATAAAATATTTATAAACGCATAACATGTACATATCAAAATGAAACCCCAAAACACATTGTGCTGCTCCTCCTGAGTATGGTGATACCACAAGTGTGAGACCTTTCCACAGCCTGGCCACACAGAGAGGCCCAACATCCAAGTAGCACCTTTAGGCAATCTAGGGGCAAAAATTATACATCTAATTTCCTGACAACCTATCACATTTTTGAAGGCCCTGGAGCACAAGGACAGTGGAAACACCCACAAAATCACCCCATTTTGGAAAGCAAACACTCTCCAACTTATTTTTTGTGACGCATGAGTCTTTTGAACATGACATTTTTTTCCACAAGATTTTTGGAAAATGTGGAAAGAAAATGAAAACTTTTTTTTTTTTTTTATATATATATATACACAATGTCCATTTATAAGATATGTCCAACACATAGCATGTACATACCAAAAAGTACAACCCAAAATACATTCTGCTACTCCTCCTAATGCAGGCCATAGATGGGGAGAAAAACGGCAGATTTTCGGCCGATTAACGAACTATCGGTCGGTCTAAAAAACTTACCTGACCACCAATTATTACGAAAATCGGCCGATTAATGAGTAACCTATAACGGGAAATGATGTCATTTTGTGACCTTTGTGATCCTTTTTCGGAAAACGATCGTTCGTTTTTGACCATCAATGAGGATAAAGTTGGGCGTCTTTCGAAAATTTTCCAACATCACCGATAATCTGAAAGTCCAAAATACACGAAAAACGGCCGACAAAATCGTCCACTAACGATAAGATAATCGGCCGGTTTTATTTTCGGACGAAAAATCGGCCGTTTTTCTCCCCATCTATGGCCTGCATAAGTTTGGGGATACCATATGCGTGAGACTTTTCCACAGCCTGGCCACATAGAGAGGCCCAGCATCTAGGTAGCAGTGGTGTTCCAGGGTAAAAAATTCATCTAATCTAATTTCCTGTCAACCTATCATGTTTTTGAAGGACCTGGAGCACCAGGAAAGTGAAAACAATGGTGGCTGTGTGACGGGTACCCTTCTGGTGGTGGCTGTGTGACGGTTACCCTGCTGATGGGCGGCTGTGTGACGGTTACCCTGCTGATGGGCGGCTGTGTGACGGTTACCCTGCTGATGGGCGGCTGTGTGACGGTTGCCCTGCTGATGGGCGGCTGTGTGACGATTGCCCTGCTGATGGGCGGCTGTGTGACGGTTACCCTGCTGATTGGCACTATGGCACGGGTACTGTGTAGTGTTTAGGCTCTGTACAGTGTAAAGATCAGTAACTCACTGTTAGAATATTCCTCTCCTCATAGATAATCTTTGTGTGAGGAGAGGAAGCTGGTAACAGCAAGTTACTGCTCTGTGTTTTCATTTGTGATTGGCTGTGATTGGACACAGTTGATCACTTGGTAAAGAGCCACTGCCATTGGCTTTTTACCTTGATCGGTGATGCACTGTGTCCAAGGGACACAGCTCACCACCAATCACCACGCCAACCGCCCTCAGGGGTGCGTATGCGTGGCTAGAGTGGGAGAATGTCACATGACATCTGCCCAGAACAAGAGAGCTCCCGCCCATCCATCATTTCCCAATATGGCAGGCAGGAGGCGGTTAAACCAAGCAGGTCAACCCTATTAAAGAGACTAAAGCAGGCAATATATAGATCGAATTTTGGCTGGTTCAGCAGGGACCAGACACATTTTAATCCATGTACAGATAGGCTTTTTATTCCCAAGTCGATCCATCAAATGCTTGATGTCATAACTGATCACGTGTGCAGCACCATGGCAACTGCAGATCAAACATGCTAAGATGGCAGCTTCCTTGGCTGTAAAGGATAGGAGGGTGTAGTTCCAGTTTAAATGTCCATAGCCTGAGCAAAGGTTCACTTCTAGAGAAACCATTTCACATTAGAGGAAAGTTTACATTTTATCTCATTCGTGTTACTTTGTGTCTGTTCACAATTAAGTGTGGGGGAAATGACGTTGTGGGGGCGAAAGGAAATTGCGTCATCTATGGGCTTCTTAAACCACTTGCCTACTGGGCACTTATACCCCCTTTCTGCCCAGGCCAATTTTCAGCTTTCACCGCTGTTGCATTTTGAATGACAATTGTGTGGTCATGCAACATTGTACCCATATGAAATTTTTATTATTTTTTTCACACAAATAGAGCTTTCTTTTGGTGGTATTTATTCGCCAGTGGGTGTTTTATTTTTTGCGCTATAAACAAAAAAGTGCAAAAAATTTGTAAAAAAAAGTTTTTCTTTATTTCTATTATAAAATTTTGCAAACAGGTAATTTTTCTCCTTCACTGATGTGTGTCAATTAGGTGGCACAGGTGGGTGGCACTGCAGAGCACAGTTGGGTGGCGCTGCAGAACACCCTCAGCATAAGTAAGTATAGGCATCTTTCCTTTGCAGGGTAATTAGTATAGGTTAGAATGGGGGTGGGAGAAGGTTTAATCACAGTTAGGATTTGACTGAACGTCTACTTTAAGCTATCAAACCGGTTCAGAAGGTAGTCTATGGCCCGCTTTAGGCATCTATATATAATGCGCATGGGTAGACCTGTAACTAGCTTTGAAAAATTCACAGTAAGTTTTGCTGTGACCTTTCACTCTGACTCGGACACGCTTTGACACCATTGCATGTATTGATGTTTTCCATGATATGGGAAAATCTTTGACTGTTAAGGTATTACGTTGTAGCACTGTGCTGTTTTTTAAAGCTTCTCCTGGAGCCTAAATATTAAAGCGCATCTAAGGTTTCAATACTCACCTCATGCTTGGTACCGCAAAATGGTAATCAGCCAATCACGTGGCAGCAACTCAATGCATTTTGGCAGCTAGATGTGGTGAAGACAACTTGCTGAAGCTCAAACCGAGCATTGGAATGGGGAAGAAAGGGGATTTAAGTGACTTTGAACGTGGCATGGTTGTTGGGCTGGTCTGAGTATTTAAAAAAACTGATCTACTGGGAATTTCACGCACATCCATCTCTAGGGTTTACAAAGAATGGTCCAAAAAAGAGAAAATATCCAGTGAGCGGCATTTGTGTGAACGAAAATGCCTTGTTGATGTTGGAGGAGAATGGGCAGACTTCTTCGGGATGATAGGAAGGCTACAGTAACTCACGTCAATATGGACAAAAATATCTGAGAAATGTTTCCAAAACCTTGCTGAGGCTATGCCACAAAGAATTAAGGTAGTTCTCAAGGCAAAAGGGGGTCAAGGTGTACCTTATAAAGTGGCCAGTCAAGTGTATGCCTGGTGCTGCAGCTTAACCTAGTATTTCTATGCTCACTAGCTTTTTGGGCTGATCCTTTTGCACTTGAACCATGTTCTTTTTGTTTTGTCTGCCTTCACGATGCGTTTAATTGCAAAAGCTGTAGCTTTTTAGAATCATTTCACTTAAAGGCTAACTCCATGTTTTCTTTGACCATGTTCCATTTTACATCAATATTCAGGATGTAACATGGTTCCAATGGACCTTCCAACCTCCAAACTTGCCGTCCCTCTGATAGCATGCTGCAGTTCTTCTCAACGACAGCTGTCACTTTTGAATTTTGCGCAGCTGTGCAGTGCTCTGTGCGATTTGTAAAATAAACTACAGATCCCATCTTCAACTGTAGTAGATTAAGTTGTAGTTATCAATAGAACACAAGTGCAGTATTCACTGCACTTGTAATCCAACTGACACTTCCTCCAGCTCTCTAACTAAAAGTCTGTAACACGGTATGGACAAGGAGCTGAGGAAGAGTGTGTAGGAACCTGTGCATTGCACCTGCAATTCATTGATCGAGGGTGCAATGCTTCGCAGGCTCATTTGCAAAAAAAATAAAAAATTTTCTCTACAATTGTGGGTGAATTTATAAATTTGTATGTTCATTTTGAAAAAGGTTGCCTTATCCTTTTAAACATTTTTTTATTTTCTCTTTTTAGCAAGCAGTCATACATATGGTGGCACCAGAAACTCAAGGCGATCTGGAAACATAAGTGCTTCCAGCAGCAGCAGTTTATTGGACCTAGACCCTCTTATTCTTATTCATTTACTTGACCTCAAAGACAGAAACAGTGTGGAGAATCTTTGGAGCTTGCAACCTAGACCTCCTGCATCACTTTTTCAGTCCTCAGGTACTTGCATTGTTTATATTCTAGAAGTGTAAAAGGTCAGCTGGTTGTACATAAGGTTATCAATGTGTGTTGGTGTTAAAAAAAAAAATAAATTATACATTTATGAAGGGGTAACCTGCCCATACTTATACACGCTGTTTTCCTTACTTTGCAGTGCTAAACAATGGTTGTTGTATATTAATTTATACTAACAGTGCCGCGCTCCTTAATAAATTATCTGTGATAAATAATGTTATTTCTAAACCAATTTTTTAAAATATAAAATAAAGTGAAATAAAAAATGATAAATCAAATTTATGAGATATGATACTGGAATTGATCATCTATTACCTATAACATCTTATAAAATTAATAAACCATGATTGTGCTCATAATCATTAGTGACATCTAATAGTGAACAAAAATCAATAAATCTGTGCACGTAATGAGGAGTCCTCTTCCAATGTGAGTAATGGGTGAACTTCTTATTCCCTCAATCCAAGTGTAGTGTGGTCTTAATATGCGTTTACCTTAATTTTTGCCTAATATAATAGGCAAAATTGGCTTTTTGTCCTTTCAGGACTGATGAGATAATCCTCCTGTATGCTGTTAAATCACATTTGCAGTGTATGAGAAGGCTGTCAGCATGGCCTGCAGTCTCTGCTGTACTTGCCGTGCTTATCCGAGACAACGTTGTGACGTCAGAGCCCCTCCCCTCTGCGTTGCGTCACCGGGTCACGTGACTTCATCAGGGGGATATGAATCATAAATGCAAATGTGATTTATGTGAGTGGTAAATCCAGCAGCAATAAATTACATCTTTAAAAGGATAAGGCACCATGGTTTCGCTTTCTTTTATGTGATCAATCTGTGATATACTGGAGATAGATCGATACAGGAGGAAGGTGACCCCAGGAGGAAAAAAGGGGATATATTCATCCATCCATTCCTGACCAGTATCCGTCACAATCATTGCGGAGACCCCAGGTGGATTAAAGATCCAATTACACTATCTATTTGCCTTTGGAAAACAGCATACAGGAGGATTATCTCATCAGTCCTGAAAGGACAAAAAGCCAATTTTGCCTATTATATTAGGCAAAAATTAAGGTAAACGCATATTAAGACCACACTACACTTGGATTGTGGGAATAAGAAGTTCACCCATTACTCACATTGGAAGAGGACTCCTCATTATGTGCACAGATTTATTGATTTTTGTTCACTATTAGATGTCACTAATGATTTATTAAGGAGCGCGGCACTATTAGTATAAATTAAGTTTCAGTCACGGAACACTATCTAATGAGTAGGTGTCAGTGCCAGCGAACCACAGGTACAATATAATATCATTATAAATAGGAAATTAATTGTAAAAATCTCTTTCATCATAGTAGCTCACAAGTATTTATTTTATTAATGGTTGTTGTATACTTATTCTCCCAAAGCAAGACTTCTAATGTATTGAAAATAGTACACTTTTTGTGTGACTGATATTTTATTTCAGCATTTATGGGAGGAAAAGTAATTGTATTCTCTAGATTTTATACAAGAACCATTATATAAAAAAGCAAACCTTTTATAAATGTATATTTCATAAAATAAGAATTTCAGTAAACACTGTTGTAATGACTCAAAATATATATTCACTGAAAATACTGTGGGAGGAGTTTACTAAAATTTTAGCAGACTGAATCTAGAGCAGCTTCTAGCTTCAGTGTGTTCAGTTAAAGTAGTACTAAAAGCTATTTTTTTTTATTTTGGATAGGGTAGGGACAGGTTATAACCCCTCTGTTTTTTCCACCTGTGTCCCATTGAGGAGAGTTTCCTTCACTTCATGGCCCAAAGTCAAAACAGGATGTAAGGAAATCTATCCAAAGTGAGGGAATCCCTGGCTGTTACCAGAACCAGTGTCCTTATTTGAAGAGTCTTCCTCCTATTCATGTTCTGGTGGCAACTAAAAATTTGGGGTTTTCTTTCAATTTCACTTTTGTTGAGAACACAAAACAGAACAAATGACAAGGGTAGATCTCCCTTATCGGGGACACAGACAACAATTAAAAAAAAAAAACCTGTTTTTCAAGTTTTGAAGGCTGGAGAGGAATTACAAAACCCTGAGGGTTTTGAGGAATCTGTTCCTAAAGAACCCCGAGGTCAGGGTTTATTTCACACCCAAATGGCCTTTGAGCTTTCTCGCAGTCGTAGTCGGGTTAATTTGAAGTTATCATTTTCTCCGAAAGTCTCTCGGATTTGGATTGTGGAGACCACAACTTCCTCAATCCTTCCATTTACATCCTCTTTTAAATGTTTTGTATGCAAATTTTAAAGGATGTTTTCTACTCGAACATGGCAAGGTTTTCGTTCCACAAAAAAAGTTCACTCAGGAATACCCCATGGAGAAATGAGTTCACTAAGAAATTAGGTATGCCTTTGGATCTGGTAGCTTCTTATCTCAAGAACCTCAAATGCCCCAGTGGAAGATGTCGTGGTGTTTAAGTTCTCACAAACACTTTAAAAAATGCCTCTTTTAAGCCGGCTTTAAGCAGGGACCAACCAACATTTGATCCATCAATGGGCAAGCTGATTGTACCCAAGTCGATCCATTGATTGACTTGGATACAACTAGCATTTCATATTTTTATCATGTGATTACAGCCGCTAGCTGTAATCAGTGTTTTCCCAGCAGGGACGGCTCTCAGCTCCCCTTGCCAAGAGAGCACCGTAGCTTCGCGGGTGTTGGTGGGGGAATCAGGAAAGAGAGTCGCATAATCTATGGCCAGCCTTACAATGGTGGGAACATATGTACAACCAGCTATTGTGGCTGTAGGTGTGTGCCAATGCCTTAAGGTCTGGGATTATAGGCTGACAAGGGAGGGGAGGGATCCTATTAGTGGTTATACCAATTTGAGCTGAAACCTGGATGATTTAGCTTCTCAGTGGATGCCTTGAAGGACTCCATAAAGTAACTTTGGAGCCTTTCCTCTCCATGTTTCATGCTTTCAAATGTTTCTTTGAATCCACAAAATAAATTTTGCATTCTTGCAATCTCTCGATTGTCTCCTATCTCAAGGAGTGCTACTTTCTGTTCCAGAGGATGAAAAATTTTGCTGTTTCTACTTAAACTTCACAGTTACGAAAGTAATTGACAACGTTCGCACAATCTTGGCTCCTGAGAGACTCAATAGATTTCTCAGAGTACAAGTCTGTGGTGGCCTCTGTCCAGAAAAGAGAGTTTCTGACATAAGTGAATATCAAATAATCTTACCTATATGTGGAAGTATGTTCCAATATTATAACCTCTCCAAAGAATGCTTCCATCCACAGCTCCTACAGTGTTCACCAAGGTCCTGGTTCCGGTTCTGAACTTTTATGTCCCCAGGGTGTCCCTGTATCTGGATGACTTCTCAGTGCTGGAGACAAGTGTGACTCAAGAGATGCTCACTCTGGAGAGGTTTAGATGGGTTCTGAATATTCAGAAATCTACCTTAATCCAAGCTCTAAGAATGGAATATTTGGGACTGATCCGGGACACCATCCAGGCGAGAGTGGTCCTCCCTCCAGACAGATTCTTAAAGTGTTAATAAACCAAGGACCCTGCATTCACTATATTTGGTCTCCCACAGTACACTCAATATGGAAATGCAATTATTTTAGTAAAAATAAACTGATAAAAACCTTTTCTCATCAGCAGTATGTAGCAGTCTTGTGACTTAGTGTCCAGCAGAGCACTGGTTAAAGCTTGTAGGGGGAGTTTTCATTATCCTCTGACTGTCCTATGAGGCTGCATATCACCTGACGCTCTGTCTGGACAGTTCTTATTGGCCCTGTACTGATCACCTGCACCCTCCCAAAGAAAAAAAAAAAAAAAACAGCTCTTTAGCAATACACACCAAACTGAGCATGTGCAGAGTGACTGGACAGTAGAAGAAGGGGAGCATCAGAGAAGACAGGATCAATCAGCCTTTTAAGACAATGCAGATGATGAACCCCTTTGGTTCCACATTGAGTATAACATGCATGCTTTAATGCGTGTACAGACTGATTTTACTGTTGTGGGTTTAGTAACACTTTAATCTGAGGGCTCTGTTAATTTGGTTGATTTGCTCAAATTGCTGTCAAATCCCTTCATGCACTTTCCATGATTGTTCTAGGGAAGATGGTAGCCTCCTTTTCGAGGTGGTTCTGTTAGCCCAGTTTTATTCCAGATCCCTCCAATGGAATGTGTTAGACTCATGGTACAGGAGGTATTTTGACTGGTGGATTGCTTTACTGATGCTGGAGATAAGAAAATAATTCCTTTCTCTATCCTGGAGGGTTCTGACAACAGATCCAATATCTTGAAATTGAGGGTCATTCACCCTGCCCTGCTTCAATGGTCAGAGGGTTCAGTTAGACAACACCACAGCGGTAGCGTATATAAATAATCAAGGAGATACCAGTAGTCAGATGGCCCAGGAAAATTGGACTTCATTGTCTGCTGTCTACATTTAAGGTGTGAATAATTGGCAGGAGGATTTTCTCAGCTGTCAACAACTTTCTCAGGGGGAGTGGGCTCTTCACCCAGAAGTCTTTTGATGTATTCTGTCAATGATGGGAATCCCAGATGTGTTTTTTCTGGCATCCAGGTTTAGTACAAAACTGAACAGGTTTGTCTCCTGGGTGTTTGGTGAAAGCTTTGGTGACACCATGGGACCAGTTCTCCCTAGTCTTTGCCTTCCTGTCATTACAGCTTTTACCATATCTGCTTCAGAGGATCCAAGAGGAAGAAATTCTAGTAATTTGTATCACCCTGGCCTGGCCCAAGGGAGCTTGCTACTCCAACAATGTGAAAGATGAACCCTGTACTTTCCCAGACCAACCTAACCAACCATTGCAAGGTTCAATTTTCCATCCTTCTTTGTAGTTGCTGCCTTTAACAGTAATAGGGCATCTCTGACTTGGTCCTTCCTACCCTGCTGCGCTAGGAAGGCAACATCAAGGAGATTTACAAGAAGACTTGGAAGCCATTTAGTGGCAGAAAAAAAAGTACCGTGCTTAACTAGCGCAATAACACATTGACCCTGATCTCAGATTTACCTCTTTTGTGATTAGTAGTACCCCACATTACCACTAAGGCCTTACAAAGTGATTTTTTTCCCCTTCTCTTTTTGATTAATTCCCTCTTGCCCCCCCTCCTTCCATGCTTTCTCACCTATCATACCCCACCTGTCTTACCCTACCTATCTTACCCTTCCCCTCTCTACCCTGCCTCTAGAGTTTTCCAAACACAAAATCTCAGGTCTGTAAGTGCTATCCACAACTATGGAGAACTCAGGACCGTATTGTGAATACTGAATCTTTCTTGTTCCACTGTAAAGCTCCTTTTCCATTTTGTGCCATGGTAGACTTTGTAACTGCCGTGCCTTATGTTTTTGGAAGATTTTCAATAATTCAATAAAATTTTATTGTTTAAGAAAAAAGCACTTCAGAGGATATCTTTGGATTCGATGTGAATCCTGCAATAAAAACTGGAATTCTGCTCTTAACTATTATTTTAGTGTAGAGAAAAGTGGAATCCTTTTAGATTTGGTTGTAGTATGTGTTGTCCAAATAATAGTTGCTTTTGCCACATCCCACTAACATTAGTTGGGTGTGTTCCCCTAAATAGTGTACCTCAAAAACCACTAAAAGAGCAAGGGGAACATATGCACACATATGTCAAAAATGTTTATGATCAAAAACCTTATACCAATATACAACCCCCCCTCACCCCTATTATAATTAAAAAATAATTGTCTAAAAATTCTCCTGGAGACTATTCGGTTAGTGATACCATGACGCATGTTTTCAGGAGGGAATACATATTTATTTGTATATCTCCTGGATTCATGCTAAACTGGACACCCATATGTACAAGAGAAATTGACAGCTATGTAGACTAATCTGCACACCAAGGCAATTTAACATTTCCCCGTTATGACGGTAAAAGCTCAATAAATGCTTGGATCCATGTAACATGGATGTTCCGTTCAGTGGGAAGATTCACAGCCATGTACTTCCATTCAGTAATATGGGAGGTAAGTAATATTGTATGTTGTAACATCCATATATTGTCTGCAGATATGGTGATAAAGAGAGGGAAGCTTCAAATATATATGTATTCCATCCTGGATACATGCCCCATGGTATAACTGATTAGTCTCCCAAGAAAATATTTAGACAATTGTCTCAATTTAATAAAGGAGGGAGGGTGCTTTGGCAAGGGGTATCTCTTTTTGATAATATACTTTCCTAATATTTGAGTGCACAGATGCTCTCCTTATTCTTTCTTTAGTGGTTTTTGTTGTATGTGTTGGGCTCTGTAAAGAGCTGAGCTTTGGTCACTTTTGTCTGGACAGTGGCAAGAATGCCAACCAATATTATCTGAATGTTATGGCAGACTTTATAGCCATGTGATGTACAGTTTACACCAGAAATGCCATAGATGTGTAAACCAGACAATGGCATTAGCAGCTGTGGCATGTGAATATTTGACACGAGCATTGGATTTTATGTGATAAAAGAATGTAAAGAATGTATACACATTTGTGTGTGTGAGATCTATCTATCTATCTATCTATCTATCTATCTATCTATCTATCTATCTATCTATCTATCTATCTATCGCACACTATGTTACCAAAAGTAATGGGACACCCCTCCAAATCTTTGGATTTAGGTGTTCCAATCACCTCTATGGCCACAGGTGTATAAAATAAAGCACCTAGGCATGCAGACTGCTACCAACATTTGTGAAAGAATGGGTCGCTCTCAGGAGCTCAGTGAATTCAAGCATGGTAGTGTGATAGGTTGCCACCTGTGCAATAAGTCCATCCGTGAAATTTCCTCGCTACTAAATATTCCACGATCAACTGTTAGTGGTATTATAACGAAGTGGAAGCAACTGGGAACAACAGCAACTCCGCCACAAAGTGGTAGGCCACATAAAATGTCAGAGCAGGGTCAGTGCATGCTGAAGCACACAGTGCACAGAAGTCATCAACTGTCTGTAGTCAGTAGCTAAAGACCTCTAAACTTGGTGGCCATTAGCACAACATTTCGTAGAGAGCTTCATGGAATGGGTTTCCATGGCTGAGCAGCTGCATCCAAGCCATACACCACCAAGTGCAATGCAAAGCATCAGTTGCAGTGGCATAAAGCACACCGCCACTGACTCTCTAAGGCAGTGGAGACTTGTTCTCTGGAGTGACAAATCCCTTTTCCCTGTCTGGCAATTTAATGTATGTGTATGGGTTTGGCGGTTGCCAGGAGAACGGTACTTGCCTGACTGCATTGTGCCAAGTGTAAAGTTTGGTGGCAGGAGGATTATGCTGTGGGGCTGTTTTTCAGTGGTTGGGCTTGGCCCTTAGTTCCAGTGAAGAGATCTTTTAAAATGTCAGCTTTCCAAAACATTTTGCACAATTTCACGCACCCAACTTTATGGGAACAATTTGGGGATGGCTCCTTCCTGTTCCAACATGACTGCACACCAGTGCGCAAAGCAAGGTCCATAAAGACATGGATAAGCGAGTTTGGGGTGAAGGAACTTGACTGGTCTACACAGAGTCCTGACCTCAACCCGATAGAGCTCCCTTGGGATGAATTGCAGTGGAGAGTGTGAGCCAGGACTTCTCTTGCGACATCAGTGTGCGCTTCTGGAAGAATGGTCAAACATTCCCATAGACACACTCCTAAAACTGGTGGATAGCCTTCCCAGATGAGTTGACACTGTTATAGCTGTAAAGGGTGGGCCAACTCAATATTGAACCCTAGGGACTAAGACTGGGATGCCATTGAATGGTTTTGTTTGTTGGGAAGACAGGTGTTGGACCTTTTCAGTCGTAACCTGATTTGCTTTAAAAACTGCTGTAGATTTTCAGTTCAATCACATTACTGATTATATGTGTAAAAATTGGACATATCAATTGTGTACTGAAACATGTTTGCTTTTCCCACCAGCTTCCTGTTCCCGCAAGGATAGGGACACACGTGCACAGCATACTTGGCGAGTCTCTCCTGATCTGAAAATGCTGAAGAGGTACAAGTCCCAGGTGCTTGAGGTGCGCAGCAAACTATCTGCTGTGAAGAGCCAGTTATGTGATGTCAGGAGTAGCAGTGCTAGTGAAGGCCAGCTGAGCACTGCCGGAGACCTGGACTCACTGGACTCGCTTGCAGTAGGCAGTGGAGAAGGCTGCAGTAAGTTACAAGAGCTGGGCATGGAGTTGCTCCGGAAATCCTCTCTTGCGAGCTGTTATGTGAGAAACAGTAAGTCTAAAAAAGCCATTTGAAATGTAGTTTTCCCTACAGAATACATTTCTTTGGGAAGTCTTTCAATTGTTCACCTTGCTGTGATAGTTAAAAGTGCATTGCACGCCATAAACTAGTTTTTATAGTTTTGGATAGAATGAGAAATTATTGGAATTCCTGCCTAGTTTCTACTGCTAATTTTTAATCTCTGTTAGACTGATTTATTTTCACTTCCTGTCCTATTAACAATGTTTTATCACACAGGAAGTGAGGGAAAATCCGCAACAAGGACATAAATACAAATATGACCGGTTCTAGCCTTCCCGTACTCTCATAAAAGAAATAACCACATCCCCGCTGCCCTATAGCAGATATACTGCTACAGGGCGGCAGGGGTGCACAAAATCGTGTATATATACGTGATTTGTTGTTTCCGGGTATTGGTGTCACTGGGGATGTCAGTGATACCAAGTCAGTCCCCCCCAGTGTCAGAATGTCTGCCGCAGTCCTGTTATAAGTCGCTGAACTTTTTTTTACATTTTTTACTGGACATGTTTAATAACAAAAAGTCAGAAATACTGTTTTTTTTTTTTTTTCTCAAAATTGTCAGGTTTTTTTTTTTTTCATACTGCAAAAAATAAAAGCACAGGCGAACAAATACAACCAAAAGAAAGCTCAATTAGTGGGAAAAAAAGGACGTAAATTTCACTTGGGTGCAGCGTTGCATCACCGCGCAATTGAAAGTTAAAGGTATGCATCGCTGTAACGTAAAAAAAAAAAGGCCTGGTCAGGAAGGGGGGTAAATCCTCAGGAGGGCAAGTAGTTAATACAATCTGTGTTGTGATGGTGGAATTCCCCTTACTTCCTGTGTGGGAGGGAATAATCTTTCTCAAATCAAATCCATGCAAAAAATAAGTAAAAGATTTGGTTGGTCATACATCTCTTTTTATTGTTTAGTTTGTTTTATTCCTGACCATAATGAGGTCAGGAAAGAAAATGGATGCTGCACTTATGTTTCTTGTCCTTTTTGAAGATTTGTGTATTTGGGACATTTAACTCCTGTTTCCTTCCAGTAATTTTTACATTTTTGGTGCAGATTGGAGGGTCCATAGAGTAGAGCAGGCTGTATCCCTGCCTGCTCTGCATATGCAGAGTGGATATGGACCTGACATCCGCCCCCACTCCGCTCATTGTGGCCCGTGACAGATTACCAAGTCACTTAAGTAGCCCACTCTCTTAAAAAGGTTAGGCACCCCTGCATTAAGGAAAGGGTTCCTCCTTTCCCTATCAGAGCCTGTTCTACCAGAGCTGATGGTGTCTCTTGGACTTTCCAGCATTAAGCATCTGCTTCCCAGAATTGCAAGGCTGCCACCTGGTCCTCGGTTCACCTGTTCACCAAGTGTTATCAGGTGGATGTTCATGATTTGACTGATGGTGAGCTTCAGCTGCAAGGTGCTTCAAGCTGTTATCTGAGTGTTTTTGCGGGCCTGTTAGCAGTTCTGTTTTGCCATTTTGTTGCCTGACCCTCAGTTTATTGCTTGGGTAGGTCCCATGGTCTCGTATCCTGTTCTGTACAGTTCAGAACACAGGCCCCTCCTCTCTGTAACTTGCTTACTCCTTATTGCTTGCTCAAAGAAAAAAAAAAAACCTGTAGTCCTACAAAGTTGGCAGGGTTACATGGTTCACTTTGTGTGGCCCCAGCAAGTTTTATATCCATTTGTTCAAGCACCTGGAGGCAGCTGCATATAACCTTTAGTCTATGAGTACAAGTCCTGTGTTCTGTACTGTACCTCAAGGTAAGGCATTTACTGGAAAAACTAAATTCCTATATTTCCAGTTATTTATATCAAACAGACATGTAGTGCTCCCAGGAAAAAAAATAAAGCATTCAGAACATCTACCCATGGATAGGAAAGTCTAGTGCACTTTCCATGGGTGTTCTGAACCAGCTAAGCTGTGTAAAAATCCAGTTATTGAAGCATTTATTTCCTTCTTTTGTGGGATATTATTTTTATATACAGTTAGGTCCTTATATATATTTGGACACGAGCACAATTTTCATACTTTTGGCTCTGTATGCCACCAGAATAAATTAACACAAAACAATCCAAAAGAATTGGAAGTGGAGATTTTCAGCTTTAATTCAAGGGGTTGAACATAAATATCAAGTACAAATTTTAGGAACTGCTCCATTTTTATACACAGTCCCTTCATTTTCTATGGGTGAATGGGTTTTTCTTTACCATAGAGAGAATCCTGCAATCATCCACCACTGTTGTCTTCCGTGGACGTCCATGCCTTTTTATGTTGCTGAGATCACCAGTGCGTTCTTCTTTCCTCAGAATGTACCAAACTGTTGATTTGGCCACTCCTAATGTTGCTGCTATCTCTCTGATGGATTTGTTTAGTTTTTGAAGCCTTACAATGGCCTGTTTCACTTGCGTGGACAGCTCCTTTGAACACATGATGTAGGTTCACAGCAATAGATTCCAAATGCAAATACCACACTTAGAATCAACTCCAGACCTTTTACCTGCTTAATTGATGAAGAAATAATGGGGTAGCCCACACCTAGCCATGAAACAACTTTTGATTAAATTTGACAGTTCAGTTAAAAGAGAAGTTTGGGGTTCCCCCCCAAATTATACTTGGGTGTATGTAGCATCGGTCCCCCACCAGCTCTAAGTGTGAGAACTCAGCGACCACATGATCGCTCAGTTCGCACCGCCACTGTGAGCAAGAGCGGTGACTGTCAGTCACCGCTGTCTGCTCTGAAACCCCCCCCCAACCGGGCTCACTGTAGCACTCAGCTGAGGAGGGGGTGGCTCAGGCTCTAGGCAGCTCGCTGAGAGGCTGAGCCAGGTGTCGCTCCAGACTCTGGGGTGGATCCTGTCTTAAGTGATGTCAGCTGACAGCGCGCTCCAGCCTGCTGTCTGCTGATAATGGGTCACAAGTGTGCAGAACGAACTGAATTCCTGTGATCCACAGGAGAAATACAGCCAAAAGAGCTTTTGCTGTACTTCTCCTTTTAAGTTTACATCACACGTTCTATTCTTCTTGTAGAATCTGTGTACAGTTATATTTTAACTGGAAACCGGTTTATTGGATACTCTGTCGAGAGGACTAAGTGATTGATAGATATTGAGGCCTTACAGGAGAAATATTGCCAAATATTTGATACAGAGTTTTTATTTAATCTTAAAAAAAAAATTTGATTTGTTTGTAGGTACCAGTAAGAAATGTAATTCCCCAAAGCATTCTAGATCCAGCGAAAGAGCAGGGAGTCTGTCTCTGAGGAGAGCATTAGACTGTGGAGATAGTGTTCATCGTGTGAAAGGAGAAGGTCAAGTCCCTTCAGAAGGTAATTTACACAACTCGCATGATTTGCTTTCTTATGTTCCTTGGTTATGCAGGTAATTATGGATGTGGTACTTAAACTTATTTTTAACAGACCAAAGACTGAAGGTGCCTACAGACATTTATTTTTAACAGACCAAAGACTGAAGGTGCCTACAGACATCAGAGAACACTCATATGGGTGTAAGCACTTTCTAATCATCACCCTACCAGAGCTTTATTGGGAGATGGTGTTTTTTTCCATCAGCCATTTTGACAGACAGACAGACAAAGTTTGTCCTCTCCATAGGCAGAGCATACAGCGTCACTCACTGATCTTGAAACATGTTGGTCTAATTTCTAGTCTTTGGTGCTCTACTTATACTGATGACAGTTATGAATATTCAGATGACTGCGTGCAAATTATGGAGTGCAGGCCTGCTAATGTCATTCCTTCACCAGTGAATGTTCCTGCCTTTCATGAAATTCGTTTAATATCTGGCTATTGAAATTTTAATTCATTACTATACAGGATTGTTTGCTGTGCACCATCAAGTTGTAATTAAAGCTTTTTTTTTTTTTCCCCCTTAAAAGAGAAGTGTGCGATCACGTGGCCGCTAATTGCTGAGTTATCACAGCTGCTCTGAGCAGAGAAAGGTGACTGTCAGTCATTGCTGGCTGCTCTGCCCCCACACCCCAGCGCTCACTTGAGCTCTGGGCTGTGGAGGGTGAGGGAGTGGTTGGCTCAGGCTCTCAGCAGCTCGTTGAGAGGCTGAGCCAGGTGCCACTCCAGATTCTGGAGTGGATCCCGACTTTGAAGTCCGGATCTTTCCCCATCGTGGACTGGCTGAGTGATGTCAGCCAACAGCAGGCTTCAGCCTGCTATCAGCTGACAACGGGTCTAAGGAGTGCGGAATGAACTGCACTCTTGTGATCCACAGGAGAAGTACAGCCAGAAGAGCTTTGACTGTACATCTCCTTTTTAATAATGACTTGTTTTCTGAGTTCTTTTTTTATCCTGAAATACCAAGGGAAATTAACTGTTTTGGAGATCAATCACCTTAAAAATTATAATACACACTATTTTAGTTGTGTCATATTAAAGCGTATGTAAACCCAATATTTCATGTTCCTGATATGTGCCTGTTGTAGCCTGTATTTGTATGAAAAGGTATGCTGTTTTCTTTGTATTGCTTCCTTTGTGTGAAAACACTGGTGTTCCTGCCAGTCCCTTTGCTTTCCTATCAAAAACTAACCACATTAGGCATGAGAGCACAGCATGGTCAGTTCTCTAGCTATGCTAGGAACTCTGTGTGCTCTCCTCCAATGATCAGGCTCACAGGCCACTCCCATGTCCCCATTTATAATGTTTCTATATCTATACACACATGTTTTGCCTTTCATTTATAATTTAAACTGAATGGGTTGTTCTACAAGGTGAGGGTTTTTATATATACTTCTATTTTACTAGAAAATCTCCACATACAAGCATAATCATTACAATGTAATTTTGGCTTAAATTTGATGTAATTTTTTTTTTTTGGACATATTCTTGTTTGATACTTCTCAAACAGGGCTGTTAATTTTTGCCCCCATTACTCTGGATAGCAGACCCCCATAGTCAGATGCTGGAACACCCCATGCCTACATTGACTGATCATGAAGGACATCATTAAAGCGGAGTTCCACTCACGCTGTCAAAAAATAAGTCAGCAGCTACAAAAACTGTAGCTGCTGACTTTAAAAAAAAAAAAAAACAGCCACTTACCTGTCCCTCGGTCCCGTTGTGTGTCCCCCACAGCTCGTTTCACCGGCCGTCCTGTATTCCAGGAGGCCGGCGTCTTCAGTGTGGGCACCCGGCTGTGATAGCTTGCGGCTTCACATCCGGGCACCCATTGCGCATGCGCGAGTAGCGCTGCACTTCATGAATGGTCCTGTAGTCTTCTGGGACCTGTCACGTGTCCCAAAAGACTACAGGGAGGGAGGGAGGACACCTACTGTTTCCAATCACCTAGGCGATCGGACCGGAAATGGGAGCGGTACCTGTCAAATTCGGGTACCCGCTCCCCCCCCCCCCCCCCCCAAAGGTGCCAATCCTTAATGGGGAGTGGGGGAGCAGTCCTTAAAGAGGAACTTCCCCTTTTGGGTGGAGCTCCGTTTTAAAGTCCCTCACTGACCATCAGGAGAAAATCTTTTCATCTCATGCTTTCTTTCAGGCTGCTAACCTGCTTGGGGCAAGGACATTTTGTTCGTTTCATCCACACAAGCAATTGAATAAGATCTCATCATCTGTTTTTATCGTTTCGCTGCAAATGTTATTTGGTGTATTCAGCCCACCACCCCAAAGTTGCTTGTCAACCCACCACCCCAAAGTTGCTTGTCAACCCAATCCAGCCCCCATGGCAAATCTGTACATAGGACAACTTATTATAATTGTATTATAGTGTACCTTTACCAAAGCTAAACACCTCACAAGCCTCTGATGAAAGTGATAATTTCACAAAGTTGTGCCTTTATGGAAAAACTAGTGACATTGCTAAAAAACAAATCTCATATCTGATTTGGTATTTGCCACAAAAAAATGAATGGTCTTTCTATGCCTTACCCCCATGCTTTTTGGCAGACAGCTAACTTTGCTACTCGCCTTGATTCTCCAGAGTGAAGCATGATGGGTGGTGGCATCATTTGGCAGAGATACTTTCTTGCAGCAAGGAAAATGGGACACAGTAGTTAAAGCCAAATACAGGGCAGTTCTAGAGGAAAACACATTTGTTTACAACGGACCTGTGTAGATTCGCTTTTTATCAAGCAAACGACCCTAAACACAGACAAGCCTACAGTGGATTGTTTTAAAACAAAAATCCTAAATTCCAATTGAATAGATGTCTTGCATTTGATTCGGTTTTTTCTATAACAGTCAGTTGCAAAACTTGAAAATTTTCTGTTACCCAACAGTCCTTGTTTAACCTAGCAGTGCAGTTCTGCCAAGACTGCAGTTTACAGGATTGCATTATGAAAAGCTGATACAGATTTGACCCACAAATAATACAGGTAAAGGTGCCTTTATCAATTATTTGCTCAGCTCATTGGCTTAAGGGAGTGAATATTTATGCATTCAACAAATGTAAATACACACACACACACACACACACACACACACACACACACACACAACTCGAAAAAAAAAAACAAAACATCTTCATCCTTCAAGAATCATTCAATACCATTTCCCTGGACTCCACCCACCGGGACCATATCTTTCTGAATTTTTTTGCACACCCCCTTGCTTCATACATCTGAAGATCCACATTAACCATTTTTTTTCCATGCCCTCAAACCCAAAGTATTAGAACGTATCCAGTGTAACGCTATCCGCTTTCGTACATACAGGTGAAACTTGAAAAATTAGAATATCGTGCAAAAGTTCATTTATTTCAGTAATGCAACTTAAAAGGTGAAACTAATATATGAGATAGACTCATTACATGCAAAGCAAGATAGTTCAAGCCGTCATTTGTCATAATTGTGATGATTATGGCTTACAGCTCATGAAAACCCCAAATCCACAATCTCAGAAAATTAGAATACTGTGAAAAGGTGCAATATTCTAGGCTCAAAGTGTCCAACTCTATTCAGCTAATTAAGTCATAACACCTGCAAAAGGTTTCCTCAGCCTTTAAATGGTCTCTCAGTCTGGTTCAGTAGGAATCACAATCATGGGAAAGACTGCTGATCTTACAGTTGTGCAGGAAACCATCATTGACCCCCTCCATAAGGAGGGAAAGCCTCAAAAGGTAATTGCAAAAGAAGTTGGATGTTCCCAAAGTGCTGTATCAAAGCACATTAATAGAAAGTTATGTGGAAGGGAAAAGTGTGGAAGAAAAAGGTGCACAAGCAGCAGGGATGACTGCAGCCTGGAGAGGATTATGAGGAAAAGGCCATTCAAAAGTGTTGGGGACTTTCACAAGGAGTGGCCTGAGGCTGGAGTCAGTGCATCAAGAGCCACCACAAACAGACGGATCCTGGACATGGGCTTCAAATGTCGTATTCCTCTTGTCAAGCCGCTCTTGAACAACAAACCACGTCAGAAGCGTCTTACCTGGGCTAAAGAAAAACAGACCTGGTCTGTTGCTCAGTGGTCCAAAGTCCTCTTTTCTGATGAGAGCAACTTTTGCATCTCATTTGGAAACCAAGAACCCAGAGTATGGAGGAAGAATGGAGAGGCACACATTGCAAGATGCTGATAGTCCAGTGTGAAGTTTCCACAGTCTGTGTTGATTTGGGGAGCCATGTCATCTGCTGGTGTTGGTCCACTGTGCTTCATTAAGTCCAGGGTCAACGCAGCTGTCTACCAGAAGATTTTGGAGCACTTCATGCTTCCTTCCGCAGATGAGCTGTATGGGGATGCTCAATTTTGTTAATTTTTTGTGATGAACTTCTAAATGTACCCAATCTATCTCAAAATTTCACATAATCTAATCCATCCACCTAATCTGATATAGTGATAATTAAATAATGAATCACCCAAACAATATATAATCAGAAATATTCAAACAATGAAAAATGAAAAAAATGAAAAAATATATTCAACCAATGAAAATAAAAAAATAAAATAACAAAAAATAAATGTCCAAGTCCCCAAAAGAAAGTTCTTTTATGTGTTCCGTGAGGCAAAACGATCCTAAGACTCCTTGATATCCTCAAAGGAAAAGAAAAAAATCATAGTGTAATACCCTAATATAAGTAAAAAACACTTCACTCTGTGCCAACTCAAATCACATCAAAAAAACAGTGAGAAATCAATAAAGTAAAAATAAACGTGAGAAATCGTGATCACTCCAATCACAAGTGAAAGGTGATACTAGATACCAGTACCCTTATTACTCCAGCCAAAAATTGATGCTAAATACCATTACCCTCTTAGAATATATTCAGGCATATATTGTAACACAGGAAAGGTATTTCTCCATCTTCCTTATCTCGGGGTGTTCCTCATATAGATAAAGAAAGGCTCTTTCAGGCAGATTCCATAAAAAGATACAAATTTTAATCCACACTTACATGTAAAAAAACGATATCCAGCTCTCAGTACTGAACATTGCAATCTCAGGTTGAAAACCAATAGTTTCCAACCGACAAAATGGCCGCGGCGACACTTCCGGTTAGCCTGCGTGCGTAATGACGTCACTCCCCTAACTCCCCTAAAATATATTTTTTCATCTGAAGTCCGGAAGTGACGAAACGCGTTAGGGGAGTGACGTCATTACGCACGCACGCTAACCGGAAGTGTCGCCGCGGCCATTTTGTCGGTTGGAAACTATTGGTTTTCAACCTGAGATTGCAATGTTCAGTACTGAGAGCTGGATATCGTTTTTTTACATGTAAGTGTGGATTAAAATTTGTATCTTTTTATGGAATCTGCCTGAAAGAGCCTTTCTTTATCTATATGAGGAACACCCCGAGTTAAGGAAGATGGAGAAATACCTTTCCTGTGTTACAATATATGCCTGAATATATTCTAAGAGGGTAATGGTATTTAGCATCAATTTTTGGCTGGAGTAATAAGGGTACTGGTATCTAGTATCACCTTTCACTTGTGATTGGAGTGATCACGATTTCTCACGTTTATTTTTACTTTATTGATTTCTCACTGTTTTTTTGATGTGATTTGAGTTGGCACAGAGTGAAGTGTTTTTTACTTATATTAGGGTATTACACTATGATTTTTTTTCTTTTCCTTTGAGGATATCAAGGAGTCTTAGGATCGTTTTGCCTCACGGAACACATAAAAGAACTTTCTTTTGGGGACTTGGACATTTATTTATTTTTTGTTATTTTATTTTTTATTTTCATTGGTTGAATATATTTTTTCATTTTTTCATTTTTTTCATTTTTCATTGGTTGAATATTTCTGATTATATATTGTTTGGGTGATTCATTATTTAATTATCACTATATCAGATTAGGTGGATGGATTGGATTATGTGAAATTTTGAGATAGATTGGGTACATTTAGAAGTTCATCACAAAAAATTAACAAAATTGATTATTCACTTCCTAGGGAGGAAGTAGTGTTTTTGTGTGGTTATTTAGGAGCTTTTTGATTGATTGTATGGGGATGCTGACTTCATTTTCCAGCAGGACTTGGCACCTGCCCACACCGCCAAAAGCACCAAAACCTGGTTCAATGACCATGGGATTACTGTGCTTGATTGGCCAGCAAACTCGCCTGACCTGAACCCCATAGATAATCTATGGGGCATTGCCAAGAGAAAGATGAGACATGAGACCGAACAATGCAGAAGAGTTGAAGGCCGCTATTGAAGCATCCTAGATTTTTCAATAACACCTCAGCAGTGCCACAGGCTGATAGCTTCCATGCCACGCCGCAGTAATTGCAGCAAAAGGGGCCCAAACAAAGTACTGAGTACATATACATGCTTATACTTTTCGGAGGTCCGATATTGTTCTATGTACAATCCTTGTTTTATTGATTACATGTAATATTCTAATTTACTGAGATTGTGGATTTGGGGTTTTCATGAGCTGTAAGCCAAAATCATCACAATTATGACAAATCACGGCTTGAACTATCTTGCTTTGCATGTAATGAGTCTATCTCCTTTATTAGTTTCACCTTTTAAGTTGCATTACTGAAACAAATGAACTTTTGCACGATATTCAAATTTCATATTTTCGAGTTTCACCTGTATATGTCTGAAGGCTAAACTTTTTTTTTTTTTTTTTTTTTTTAGTAGAGCAGGATTAGAAAACACCTGTCATGGCTAAGTTGCTGTCTGTGCCCCTTCGCCTTCTTGATTTTGTCTTGTTTACCATTATCACTGAATGCGAAAGCAAATCCCAAATTTTGGGTTGTCACCAGAACAGGAATAGAGGGGATATCTTCCAGTGGGGACACAAGGGATTCCGTCACTTTGAAGGGATTTGCTCTCCTGTCATTTATTGGACAGGAAGTGAGAGAAAATCTACTCATGTGAAACAGAGGGCAAAAAAAAAATCTGACAGAGATCATGACCATTCCTTAGTCTATCTAGAATAATAATAAAAAAAAAAATGTTTTGCGTTTAGTTCTGTTTTAATTGTGTTTATGTAAATTCCAATTACATTTAAAGTGTGGCTAAAGGTTTTGTTTTTGTTCAATTTTGGACAGAGTTTAGATGCATTAGGTTTTTATTGCTTGCATTGTTCCCATTAGGGAGATTCTGTTTCAACTACTTGTCCAAGGGACTAAACTGGGGTCACAATCTACTTGTCTCTCATGACAATCTACTTGTTCTGATTAAAAAAAAAAATGTAATTTTAACCAAAACTGCGTTTTAACTCTGGGGTGCTTTTAGGATTATCTGGGGCTTTTAAAAATGAAAGGGGCTTTATGGCGGCTTAAACTTTTTAAATGTTTTTAATATTTTGCTGTTTATCTCCTCACCTCCCTGCCTGTCTCCAGCACCGTACCCGGGGACTAGCAGTGAGGGGAGATTGCTGGTTCAATGCAGGCCTCCTGAAGACTGTCGACTGTCAGTGTACTCTGTCTGTACATTGTACATCATACAGTGTACGGTCAGTTTCACACTGACAGAATCAATGAACTACCAGAGCGCTGAACAGCGCCATAGTAGTTCATTGAGGACTACAAGCGGACATCCACAAAGGATGTCTATACTTGTAGTTGGTTCATTCACAGAACTCTGTGAATGGATGACGTGACCGCACTCTTTTCAAAAAGTGACGGCAGGTGTGGGCAACTGCTCCCCGTACTGCTGTCACACAGAGGGATTGGAAAGCCGAGTCGCTGCAGGAGCAGGAATATGTTACACCCTAAACACAGGTGGAACATGTAACATGTTTCTGAAGGTGAACCTATTCTTTATCCTTGCCAGAGCCCGTTTTGCCTTTTCGCACACAAAAATTAATTTTAGGCCTAAAGATTACATAAACCGCAGAAAATATTCTATATTTTCTGAAAGCAGACACCCTAGAGAATAAAATAATAGATGTTACCACAAAGGTCTAGGAAATGCAAAATTTTAGTAAAAAACACACTTAAGTTAATTTTAGGGCACAAGAAGACCATAAATTACCCAATTTTTTCAGTAAAATATAGAAGATGAAGTTGCACTGAGTAAATAGATACCCAACATGTCAAACCTTTAATTTGCATGCGCTCGTGAAATGGTGACAAACTTCAGTACCCTATATTTTTTATAGTAGACTCTTTTTAAACCCCCTTTAAGTCATCAGTTTAGAGTTACAGAGGAGGTCTTCTGATAGAATTATTGCTCTCATTCAGATGTGCATGGCGATATGCAACGTGCATCTGATTGAAATATATAAGTAGTGCGGCAGTTGTTTTTTGGTGTTTAGGTTACACCAATCTAGTGCTGGCTGCATAATGTCTTCAGGGATTAGCGCAGGAGTCTTTTCATATTTTTTATTTTTTCTATGCAACGTACATCGCAGTTGATGTTTTAATGCATAGGGCACCTTGATGTGTGCGTTTAAGTTTGTATGTGTGTATATGCGTGGGTGAGGAGGGGCTCAAAATCTTTTTTGGGTGGAGGGGTTTTGTATGTGCTTTGGTGTAACTTTGTAATTTTTTTACAATTAAAAAAATGTTTTTTTTTATTTAACTTTTTTTTCCATCACGTAGAGGTAAGGGAGGGACCCTACATGTCTCTCCTGTGCTCCACTGAATGTAATGTATTGCTCCCTTCAAAAAAGGTTTACAGCTTGCAAGAAGACCCTCTCATTCTGCTATGTGGTGCCAGCAGAATTTCAAGTGTTTTTTGTTGTGTATACATATTAGGCCTCTTGCACACAGGGCTTAAAAAACCCAAATCCTGCTTTTACAGGTGTTGTCTTTTTTTATTTTTTCTTCAACCTGTAAAAACACCTCTGTGTGTCCATGCACACAGAGGCGTATTAGAAGAGGAGCATTTACAGGCTGAAAAAGAGAAAACAAAGCATGTTTAGGAGGGGTGCTTTCATCAGAAAAACTCTTGATACACCTAAATGCTAGACACATCTAGGCAAGTTTGAGTGTTAATGTATTCCAGTGGCCAGAATAAATTAATATTCTGGCCATTGGAATCCATTAATGTTCAAACGCTTGACACACCTAAGCGTGTTTTTAGTACGCAGCTTTTGGCGCATTTTTTTAATTAGCATTTCTTTTGCCACGAGCTCTAGCCCTGTGTGCATGAGACCCTAATGAGCAGTAAATGAAAATAGGCTACTCTGTAACTGCAGGCCTTAAAGTTCACAGTAGAAGTGCTGGAGGAGAAGGGGGCTGGGGGAGCAAATATATGTTTTTATTTTTAACGTGTATTTTGTAATGAACCATAATACTTTTGCAAGCACAGTGCTTATGTTGGAAAACTATGTGTTATATCTGTTAAGGCTGTAACAGTGGAGCCAAGAATGGTAGCAGACATGGATCACCAAGGTCTCTAAATAATGGGAGTCCTGAGGCGCCTTCTAGTTCTAAAGCAGATGACAGACAGGCCGAACTACTGAGTGCTGAAATACAAGCAATGTGCCTGGAAAAGACCAGAAAAATAGTCACATTGGGGTGAGTGGTTTTGTTTCTTGTTTGTTATAATCTGTGGAATTTAAAAATTGAAGCTGGGCTATTTTTGATGTACATGTAATATTAAACTTTTTATTTCTTCTTGCACTTGTGGTTATCTTAATTGTATAGTACAGGTCACAGAATTGGTATTCATAGACCATGGGTTATATGCTGCTGTCTTCAGTTGATTGGCGACTGGCAAAAACTTTTTTTTTTTTTTCCCTAGGGCTGCCCCTACTGCGTACCCATATAATTCTGCCCAGTTTGCAAGGGTCCAGTTTTTCCTAGTGTTTTTGGGTGATAGACGGTTCTCCTCCTGGAAGTATTTTTTTTTTTTTATTTTTAAACCATTGAGATTTTTTTTTTCATCTGAAACTTTTATAAACATTTGACTACGCGTCCTGTACTACCTGGTAGCTTCCAGATCAGTTACACTCTGGAAGTACCTCTGGGCCAGCATGTAATGTTTACTTTAGGTATTGGATTCTGTTTTTTGTGCTTACCTTGGCACGAAGTGGAGCATGCTAAGTTAGCTGCAGTGATACTATATACAAACTCGAAAAATTAGAATATCGTGCAAAAGTTAATTTATTTCAGTAATGCAACTTAAAAGGTGAAACTAATATATGAAATAGACTCATTACATGCAAAGCAAGATAGTTCAAGCCGTCATTTGTCATAATCTCAGAAAATTAGAATATTACATGCAATCAATAAAACAAGGATTGTACATAGAACAATATCGGACCTCTGAAAAGTATAAGCATGCATATGTATTCAGTACTTGGTTTGGGCCCCTTTTGCAGCAATTACTGCCTCAATGCGGCGTGGCATGGAAGCTATCAGCCTGTGGCACTGCTGAGGTGTTATTGAAAAATCTAGGATGCTTCAATAGCGGCCTTCAGCTCTTCTGCTTTGTTCGGTCTCATGTCTCTCATCTTTCTCTTGGCAATGCCCCATAGATTTTCTATGGGGTTCAGGTCAGGCGAGTTTGCTGGCCAATCAAGCACAGTAATTCCACGGTCATTGAACCAGGTTTTGGTGCTTTTGGCGGTGTAGGCAGGTGCCAAGTCCTGCTGGAAAATGAAGTCAGCATCCCCATACAGCTCGTCTGCAGAAGGAAGCATGAAGTGCTCCAAAATGTCCTGGTAGAAGGCTGTGTTGACCCTGGACTTAATGAAGCACAGTGGACCAACGCCAGCAGATGACATGGCTCCCCAAATCAACACAAACTGTGGAAACTTCACACATCTTGCAGTGTGTGCCTCTCCATTCTTCCTCCATACTCTGGGTCCTTGGTTTCCAAATGAGATGCAAAAGTTGCTCTCATCAGAAAAGAGGACCTTGGACCACTGAGCAACAGACCAGGTCTGTTTTTCTTTAGCCCAGGTAAGACGCTTCTGACGTTGTTTGCTGTTCAGGAGTGGCTTGACAAGAGGAATACGATATTTGAAGCCCATGTCCAGGATCCGTCTGTGTGTGGTGGCTCTTGATGCACTTTTGAATGGCCTTTTCCTGACAATCCTCTCCAGGCTGTGGTCATCCCTGCTGCTTGTGCACCTTTTTCTTCCACACTTTTCCCTTCCACATAACTTTCTATTAATGTGCTTTGATACAACACTTTGGGGACATTCAGCTTCTTTTGCAATTACCTTTTGAGACTTTCACTCCTTATGGTGGGTGTCAATGATGGTTTTCTGCACAACTGTCAGGTCAGCAGTCTTTCCCATGATTGTGATTCCTACTGAACCAGACTGAGAGACCATTTAAAGGCACAGGAACCCTTTGCAAGTGTTATGGCTTAATTAGCTGATTAGAGTTGGACACTTTGAGTCTAGAATATTGCACCTTTCACAGTATTCTAATTTTCTGAGATTGTGGATTTGGGGTTTTCATGAGCTGTAAGCCATAATCATCACAATTATGACAAATGACGGCTTGAACTATCTTGCTTTGCATGTAATGAGTCTATCTCATATATTAATTTCACCTTTTAAGTTGCATTACTGAAATAAATGAACTTTTGCACAATATTCTAATTTTTCGAGTCACCTGTAGGTTCAGGACTGCAGTCCACACACCCTCCCTCCCTCCATTTTGTCTGTAGTGATTCAGTAAATGTTTTAAATTTGGTGATTTTTCCCTCCTATCTGGACTTAGTCGCAGAAGAATGAGGAAACTGCGCCACGCTTACCATATGATGCATTTTTACCCACTTCTTTTGCTGAGAGCTCGTATCTAGTAGTATCTTGCTGCATTCCCACAGTCATCTTCTACAGAGACAGAGTCACAGGTACTCCACCCTGGGTTATAGTGGCTTCTTCTTTAGACATTGCAGACCCACATCCATTCTACACTCCTGTACCATTAGAACCCACTTGGGGTCCCCTCATTAGCAATGGTTGATCACAGGCACAGGGGAGCAGGAACTTAAGAGCTGCATACCATGTGTTCTGCAGACGGCCTGCAGAAAACACAGAACACCACTCAGGGTGATGGCTGTTACCTTGTCCCAGAGCAATGTCCTATTCTGGCACCGCTCCCCTCATCTGACTTTGACTTTCTCTCAGGTGCACTCAATATGTGGCCCGTCTGATAAAAGCAGATATAATGTCTGTATTGTTTGGAAAAAAAACGCTACACGTCCTCTTTTTTTCCCCCTGACTCTATCCAGGAATCAGAAGGATAACATCTGATACTTTAAAGATGTTTTAAAGGAAAGTATTCAAGAGATTGACTTTGGCGGGAAAGCAGCAGAGGATTTTTTTTCCCCCCAAAGCTTATAAGGTACATGGCTTTGCACCAAATGTTTTCCACTAGGGACATACGAAGTGAAAGTGTGCCTAACAGTCTTTTTGCCTAACAGCACCTCAATCTTCACAGCCAAAGCAGAACCCTATGGGTACTTGGAGATTGCCTAAGTCTAAAGACTTGTCCCTTACACACACAAGCTGATTTGTGCACTTGAGAATTAGCTATGCCCTTAAAAGTGTTCCACTCCTAAGTTTTTGCTCTTGTTTATCCTATGAAAAAGGATTAAAAAAAAAAAATGGCCATGGACTCTACCATTTCAGTTCTCAAACACCTTACAGGTATTGAAGATGTTCCCTCTTTAAGAATTCTGTTGATATTGAAGCCCCCCTAAAGACCTACATAAATTATCAAGGGGCACCAGAAGCCCATCAACCCTGAAAGAAAGAAGTCTAGTGCTCTCAGTGGCAGAATCTTGCATTACAGCTCTGTCGGCAGTCCACGTTCTGGGAGTGGACATTTGGCAAGTGTACTTTGTAATCTGCCACTGCCTAGACCCAGGGGAGTGGTCTCTGAGAGAGATTTTGAAAGGTCTCTGGATACAAAGGTGGGGGGGAAACCAGATGTCGACATCCTGGCTCCTGGTTTTAACAACATGCTTAACAAATTTGTAGCTAAGACCAGGGATCCCTCTAGCCTTTGCAGTGGATGCTCTATTGATTCATTGAACTCTACTCCAAACAGCCTATGCTTTACCTCTGTTGATCATCACTCGACCACTGTGCAGGATAGATGAGGAAGGGGTTATGGTGATTCTCTTGGCACCTAATTGGCTCAGGAGAACATGGTACACATGCACACAAGGTAGACCTGTATAGACTTCTGGTGGCTGAGCCTTGGCTTTTTTCCTAGTAGATCAGACTTACTGGCCCAAGGTCCCCTATTCCATCCTGCTTCTCAGACACTGGCTATAACGGTGTGACTGTTGAAACCCTAGTCCTAAATATTAGGGGTATTTCTTACTCAATCATTCCCCACTTTGCTCAGAGAATCACACATGGAAGTGACTACTAAACATTTTGAAATGCTTTCTGCGTAACTACCAATGAAAGGTATTACTAATAAAAGTATATAGACTGCAGCTCTCATTGATACTTATTCCCACAACTAAGTAGCTAATTTATATTCGTGCCACGCAGTCCCACCCACCAATTATTCATCCCAACCATTACTGGTAGTTTTTCAAACCAAGAGATAAATAAACAAAGCAAAAGCCCAGCATGAGGGAAATTATATAGAACAACACCTTGTATATAGATAAAATAATTTATTCCATATAACTTATTCCAAGTGCGCAAAATAACATACAATATAAAAAGCATAAAAAATAAAGTCCAACGTATTTTTACCATCACTCAAAGTGTCAGTGAAGAAATCAAGTGCAGAGATCCAACAATGTGACTTCCATGTGTTCCATCACCTTTCACTATAAACTCTCACCAGGAGAATTGGACCTATATGGGAAAGATAGGTCTATGTGTGTCTTTCTAAAGGAAAGAGGTGTTTATAATGTCCCACTGGCAATAGGACTTATCACCATGCTTTTTCTCCTTAAGATCCTTAATCCAGCTGAGACCATGTAAAAAAAAAAAAGGCTTTTCCCTTTTACACACAGAGCAGCTCTAGAAAGAATGAGAATTTCGAATTAGGGCTCATTATCTAGCCTAGGTGGAGGAAAAACTTGGTGTAACGACCCAAGGTCTGGTCATCAAAAATAGTCCGTGAAAGCCTTTTGGGGTCTAACTCGAGGGTCAAATGAGAAACCCGGTTAACCTCAGCCAGTATCACCATCCAGCAGGACTGAAGAGAAGGACAGCACCACATCATATGCAAAAATACGCCTCAGCATACCATGTGCTCAAGAAGAGGGTGTAGAGAGGTAAATGGGCACCAACCTCTGTGGTGTATAATAGCCCGTATGCAAAAATTTAAGTTGGAGAAAACATTCTCTGGCCGAGGTAATGGTGGTGACATAAGAAGTCAGACAATAGTCTCAGTTATCTTCAGTCAAGTTAAGGTTATTCGCCTTCTAGTTGTGAAAAGTTCTGGTAATGTTAGAGGCGTAAGCATAGGCAAAGATAGAGTGGGGATAATGGCTTAGTTAACACCCTTGAGGTGAATAAATGCTAAGGTAATCTTGATGTAGCTGTAAATATCTAAAGAACATCCAGTTTGGAAGTTCAAAAGTG